ATACATTTATAATCTTATATAGAGCACAAGCCTGTTCTTAATAATGGGGACTGAAAAATCACTTATGTACAATGTTGCTAGAAGTAAAGGGAAATAACCCGAGTTCTATGCGGACGAAAATGCACAAAAGACACGTTTTACAAGCAGTTACCGTTAGATATCTTGATATTCTCAATTTAATGCGGATTTTATCAGTAATATAAAAGCGACAGATTTCATTGTCGAATATTTACTTTTTTTAACTTTATAAAGTAACAGTCACCCATTACCCTCATATCCTCCCCTTCCTTAAATAATGTGCAAGTTGGCCACTCACAACAATTGCAAATTCTAGAATGCCTTAAGTTCACCACTCTCTAAGTCTTAATTATATGAAAGGAAAGAAACACATAAAATTATTAAATAAATGAAATTATGAATTCTTTTTTTTTTGCTTGTCAATGAATTTTTGGTTGGCGATAGTGCCCCCACCTAAAAATATTGGATGTGCCCCCCCCCCAAACTGAAATTGCTTCCTAATGACCTGAAGAATCGACATATCTTTCCCCATATGCCCTACAAACAAGTTTTCTGTCATCATGGAAGTAAAAAAAAATCGCAACTCGTCTGAGAAGAGAACATAGAACAGAAAACCAATGACATTATGGTCAATTTTTTTGTTCTTTTGACCACAATTCGATTTCTGTAATGCTCTGATTTTAATACTGGACGTACGGCTGGTCGGAAGGTCTTGATATTTGCTTCATGACGTCTCTTTCGAACTGTTTAAGTAACCGTCTACCCGTTGCTCACTGACGCTCAGCATTAAGCTTAAGAGCGTTTTGGAAGCGGTGCTTCTTAGTAAAATTGGTCAAACAACAATCTTCACGAACTGACGTACATGTTGGACATCCCGAATTTAGCCTTCTTTGACAATTTCCTGCCTGTGAAATCGGTTCCATAAACGGCTAATTAGACTTTTGGAAATATGAAGTCTTTCTGCAACGCGACGTTGCGATTTGACATTGCAGCTTCAAGCATCCCCTCTGCCTTAATTAGATCATTTGTACATGCTCAATGCCTTTGCATAGCGTCTTATCACCATCATAGTTCTGGCCAGAAATACTGAAACTTTCTTATTAGTGATATATTCCCGATCTATGATACTTAATTCTATGCTCCCATAGCTCCACTTACAGGGTATTTTTTTAACGACACATACTTTCATGAGCAATATGCCGCAAATCTCATCAAATGCGTATTACTCAAGAATAGAATCGTGTGAATGACACATACTGTAAATTATTGAAGCCTTGTTGTCACTTAAATTCATAGGTATAGAAATATTTTCTTGTGTAAAAATACCCGGTATGATCCCTTAGGACAATCCCAGTTTAGCTTGGACTTTCAGTATAAAGGTGTGGCATTCTCGACGTTACATTATTAGCTACTGGAATTTACACAGCTTTCCTTCACTATTGAATAATACATGGGATAGAAATTCGGGCAAATACCAATTAGTGTATCCAATAACCAATAACAGTGTCTCGTCTGGCAAAGAGGTGGAGTTTAGGTCGTCTCATCGTTGTCAACAACAATTTAAAGTTCCAGATGTTATTAATTTCTATAAACCAATGAGAATCTATTCGCCATTTGGGAGAAGCTAATTACGTTCAGCACAGAGAATGCCACGCCTTACTGAAAGTCCATGCTTACCCGGAAAGGGTTCTACTAATTTTGTCCGGTAAAAGATTTATTAAACACGCTTCAGGCAAAAACTTTTTCATCAGCCTTCTGTTTCATTTCTGTCTTCAGGTCAAACTATATCCTTCTATAACAGTCATTAATTAATCCAGACTGTAAAACCTGAAATCTGTTGCAGGAAATACATGTATAGGGAGATAACGAACAGTATTCAGGCTCAAAAGTCAATTGAACAAATTAAAATACAAAATAGAAGCAGAGAAAACACACCTCCAGAACATCAGAGGTGGGATCAGGTACCATAGAGGAGTGAGCATCCCCTGCACCGGTCAGACCCACCGTATGCTCCTTGTCAAGTACGTACTGATCATTAATCTAGTACGACTCTCAGTCAACCTTGGACTTTCGGTAGGGCGTGACTTTCTCGACACTACGTAATTAACATCTCTCAAATGATGAATGAGTGTTTCAATCATCTAATGATAGCGTTTCGTACGGAAGAGGGGTGAGACTGAAGTCGTTTCATTCTTGTCAACAAAAATTTTAAGTTGCTGATGTTATTTATATTTTTGAATCAATGAGAATCTCGTTGACATTCGCTGGAATGTATATTTCAACAGTGAATAAAAGACTGTGTTTTTCAGCGCTAATTATGTAACGTCGAAAATACTACGTCTTACTGAAAGTCCAAGGATAACTGAGAATTGTACTGATGTCGTTAAAATTTCATATTGTTCCCCAATCGCTCAATGTGTGATTTTAACATAAATCTGATACATTTAGATGATCCATTCTGACAAAGTGTCAAGGCCTTCTTTTCATGTCTAACCAATCGCCTGGTGTGATCTTCTACAGAGTCCATAATATTTTTGAAATTCCTAGGCCAGTGGAAGGAGTTCCATTTATTTCGGACTTTTTAAAATTAGTGATCTAAGGTCCTCATTATTAATAATAATTATATTTACGGCATCAGTTATAACGTGTCCAGCAGGGCTATAGTTATAGAGTGAAGAACATGAACACTATGGAGGATTTTGTTTAAGATATTCGATATCCAGGCCCTGTAAAGTCTTTTTTTGTAATTAAAAAGTTTGGAAACAATAGTTGATGTACATATTTGTAGGACATACAAGGTGTAGTCTTTAACTTGAAATATGGTGGAATGCAAGACGGGACCCTTTTGTGATTAAGAATATTAATTAATTATTTTAACCGCATCTTACACCTATATATAGCCCAAGATCATGATTTGAAACATGAGAGAAGGTTTGAACAGTGATGAGTGGGACGATTGCGAGGGGGAGTTAACTGGCCTTTTCTTATGTAAAAAAAATCTCTTGACAAGAGTTTTTGCTCTTGAAAAGTAATTCAACTAAATATCAAAAGTGAAAGAGGAAAAAATGTTTTTTTTTTTTAAAATGTAAACTTGTGTAGACACACATTGACCCCTGCATATATGCATACATAATTTCTTTCAACTTATGTTACGGCGGCACATGGCCGTACAGGAACCGGGGGAGGGGATTGCCCCCTATTTTCCCGATAAATACAATGCTGTAGAAAACATATAGGTACATGTACATGTACCATATGCTTGTGCCCCCTCAATGATTAAAAACGTCTGATAACCTTTATTTGGCTTGTCAAAGAAGTTTTGGCAGTTGGTAGTTAGTAGTACCTCCAAACAGAAAATGTTTGGTTGTGCCCCCCCCCCCTTCAACTGATTTTGCTTCCAAAGGGCCTGCACACCATGGCATATTGTATGCATATACAAAGATGCACAGTCGCGAGAGCATGGGTAAACTTCGAACGTACAAACAGTTTTAAAACTGCAGGAGGTTGGCCTCCACAAAAATCTGACCCCCCAATTTCAAAACACGAAAATCCCATTTTTCTCCGGGGGGGGGGGGGGTAGGGCAAAGGCACCTGTTTTGGAAATAAAAATTTTAATCCTTAATGTAGTAATAACATTACTATTATGATATGGGTGAACAAATTTATTTCCGAAACAATTAGTGCCTTAATTAGTTAGGGTTGATTTGAAGCTTTTCCTACTTTTGGCAGGGACCTACAATGTATATACTAGTATATACGTCCCTGCTTTTGGTACATTTTCCCCAGTCAATTCTGGAATTTGTCAGTGTTCCACCTTACAGACATAAGGGTTTATGCAAGCTATTCCCACTTTCTGAAAATCGGGTAGAAAAAGATGAAATTTCACGTGGGAGTAGGTGGAATTTTGTGTAAACAAATAATTAACTATGTTCTTAAATTTAGGTACTAAGTTGCTATTTCTTGTAAGATCTTTTTATTATTTCAAAAATCCAAGATAAATCATATTTTCTCATAGATGTATTCGTTATTTTCTGTCTTTAAATGTACAAAATACAGGTAAATCTAAACATCTTTTGTTATTTGCAAGTGGGAATAGGTGGAATTGAGATTTTAAAAAGTGGGAATAGCTAGAAGACACCGACATAAGTAGTCCGAAATATCTGATGGCTAAACTTTTCCGGACTTTTTACAATTTTTGATATAATTTTCACCACAAAACGTCTATTAATTGGACTACAACAAAAAGTTCGGGGGATATAACTGTTGAATGTAAAAAAAAAAAGTATATTGTCAATAGTTAAAGATATATATAAACCTGTTGAAAGTCCCTGCACAAGTTTGTGAGTCTACATTTATTTTTGGCCCTACAAAAAATCTTTTAGTCCGCGCCCTTTGATCAAGCGTTCTGACGACCACCCCCACATATTTACACAGTTAACGCTAAATCACTACAAAGAAATAAGTGTTACTCTCCTCCATTAAATACTTCATTCATGACAATTTTCACGATTTCAAACACTAAGGAAGGCTAAGGACTTTAAAAGTATTGTCGTAAAATTTAATCTCCTGATCGCCACTTTCCGGCACAGAGTGGTGAGATTGTGGTGCAATCGGAGTTCCTCGGATGACTCGTGCCTCGCACATAACCTCGGACGTCAAAGGTGATCTTCCATCTTGCTGATTCGGTCATGTGATCTTATTTGAATTTCATTCAAATATTATATTTTTGAAATCCGAGTTACTTTGATGTACACCCATCACTGTGTTCTTGCTTTCAAAGAATACTAACATTTGGTTGTAATTAACACGAGGAATTACAAAAATAAAGATACCTTTTCTAAGAACTTTAGGCAGAGCGAAATATGAAATGAGTAACAAGGCAGTTTCCGGCGGAGAAATGTAGCGATCTGCTGCGTATTCCTCCACCTATCACATCCGAGGTTTGAATGGAGCGAAGCGGAGTCAGCCGAGGATTGCCGATTGATTGTGGTGGGGGAAACTTGATACTATTTTTACCATGGTGCTACGGAGGAGTTGAATCGGTAAGTCTTCTGTTTCTCGTCGCGCTACGTTCAGTATCGAAAGATTATTTTTTTTTAACTGAAGATAAAATAAGGTTAAATTTTCAAGATCTTAAAACTTCCCGAGTTTGTTTGGCATTTTTTGACACTGTTTGCTCAATGCAATGAGAGCATGGGCTTCTAACTTATTAATTTGTTAATGAGCGCGTAATTAGGCACCTGGGACTAATTTTTACTGTTTGGAAGTTCAAGTCTTTTGATTAGTAACAATAGAAAATAATTAAATCATATGGCACAAACACAAATGACAACACTACTCTTTTTAATCAACTCTATCAGTCTATGAGAAATAAAACCAACTCGGCACAAGTAATTTTTCACTGTTTTCTTTAAAAAAAAATGATCTTTAAAAAAATTTATTTTACAAGTGTACAATATGGATTTAAATTTCTCTCTTGTAGGCTTGTCCTTTGTAAGTAGTAGGGAGCACCATCTTTTGCCATCAGAAATCGTGAGGCAGTGCTGCTGAAGAAAGAGTGTGCCGTGGACAAGCCGTTCTTGTTGAATTATCAAAACTACAAACTCTGTGCACCGAGAACAAGAAACAGCATTCAAATTTATGGGGATTTTTACAAAGTTTTGAACTATTTATTGAAAATGGATTCAAGTGCACTGTACAAATTTTTCCTATTTATATCTTTGTTAAAAGGTAAGTTTCTAAAGTATGACCCTTCAAACAAAGGTCAGAAGAACTGGGAAGTTTCTTCCTTCACTTGCTGGTTTACTTTAAGTCTATCATGTGATAAACTTTTTTTTGCCTGCCAGAATTTTAGAAATTGGCAGAAACATGTGTAAGACATAGGTTTTGGTGGTTCTGTTTCTGCCAGTCAATGGGTTGTTGGAAATTTGCCTAGGCTGAACTGAACCATGATAAGGAGAGAGAGCCCTCCATAAGCTGTTAAGGAGTATTGTCAGCAGCATATATTTACTTATTCAGCATGTCTAAAGAGGAATATGCTGTTCTCTTGCTTTTTCATTGACCCATGGAACACTCCTTTCATTTGTCTCTCAACTGGGTCATATGAAGTTTGAAGAGTTGAAGTTACATAATTTTCAAAACTGAAGCTCCAACCAAACTTCTTTTCCTTCGATTAATAATTTTGATTTAAAAATTGTTTCTTTCATTGTTTTGGATAGTTATTATAGAACTACATTATTAATGAGATTTTTTCAAGTGTATTTTTAATTGCACAGTATCATTGGAGTTCGAGCTTGCATGTTCACTATACTAACTTCAGGAACTTTGCAAACACCTATGAGCATGATGAGTGAAGGAAAAATAACCAATTTGAGTTGAAACATTAATATTTTGCCTATTTACCACATTTACTAGGTTATAAAATGTCTGATAAATTGTGTCAGAAATGGTGTCTGTTGTGGTCTTCTTGGTACCCTGTAGGTGTGCAGAGGCTTTGAGGATTATAATTCTGTGTAGGATTTAATGGCTTGCAGACAAGCCTCCATTATTTTCTCAAACTGCGGCTTCAGCTTATCTTATCTCTTATCAAAGCTGTGGAGAGATGGGGAGGTTTTTCTGCCTGACCTAAATAAATTTCTTATCTTAATTCATCCCTCTCCACAAAGTACCACCATAGAGCTAACAAAGCAATTTGGGGTTCAAGACTCTTATACAATCACTGTATATACTCTACTCTATGTCTGGGTAGGAATAAAGACTGTAAGAATTGAATGAAGGGTATTTAACATGAATAATCTAGTCTAAGAATCTATAGTTTGACAAAACATTATGCTTCATATTTTGAAAATTGTTTTTATGATACATCTAAAATTAATCTGTGTAAAATTTTAACATTAAAAAGAAACCTCTAAAATCATAGCAATTAAGGTGCCATGATCCTTATTGTACAACTTATAGAAGAACTTTTTCAAAGAACAGAGTAACAGAGATGTCCTGAATTATTTTTTTGTTCTCTTTGTACTAAAACATGTAAGTTCATGGTGTATTTATTCATATGTATGAGTAATTAAGCAGCTTATTTTGACATTATACATATTTAACATCTGCATGCACTTACAACACCTTTGATGGGAAAAAATATTGTTGTATAGGGTTATGATGCATGTATAATATTGAATAACTAAACACACACGCAGTTTCCACCGTTGGTAGTCGTCAAGCAACATACTTCAAAGGATTTTTGTAACTCTTATTACCTTTTTCATGTGATTAATGCCTTGTAAATAAAGTCGAGAGAAAGTTAATCAAGTTCTGCCAAGAACCTGTAAAGAAAATAAAATACCGATGAATCAGAGCCGTTCAAAAATCGAACAGCGCCAATTATGTGGCTTCTGTCTTTTCGTGCTCTTGACATACATTTCAAATGTGAAAAACAAAGTTTCATGTTGAATGAAATAATATAACACTGGATTAAAGTCATAAAATCAACAGCAATTTTTCAACAAGAAACTTGTAAGGATATTCAATAGATCTTGCTTTAGGTCACAAAATTTAAAGTTCTTTATACAGGTGCATCAAAATTCGAAACCTATTTAGAAATTAAAACTGCAGTACAAATAACTTTAGAATGTTAGCTACCAATTATAATTATTTAAATTTTTTTAAAAAGTTGAATTTAAAAGCTTTGAAAAAAATGTATTCTAGCTGGTATAATTGAAATTTAATGAGAAAAAAAAAATTATAGGTTATATAATTCTGTACATGCTTGAAATGAACATTGCATTTCATTGTAAGAACAACTATTTTGAAAATTAAATATCATATCCCACAACCCCTCTATTGTGACAGTGATCAGGTTTTACAATAATGATCCAGAATTTGTTGCTATGCTGTGGGAACATTTGATTCGGTAGCTGAGATTTGTCGGCTTGTCATTCCGGGCTGTCAGATTACATCCCCATTAGTGCAGTGGTTTACTGATAACTGCCAGATCTCATCCCCATCAACTGCTAACAAAGACAGATCACTCCCGATTATCAGGGGGGAATTGGATTTAAAGGGGAAATGGGAGAATTTTGATACGTATGGTAACTGATTAAAATCTTGGGTAGTGATTTTTATGTTTTTCTGATGGAGTATAAATGACCTACAAGCATGTTCAGAAGCAGGTTTAAGGGAGTTTGATTTGTGCGTTGTGGGTACTGTTTTTTATGGATACATGTTTCACAGAATAGCTAACATTCCATACAGATAAATGGGGCTTTATTCATTGTATCAACACTTTCAGTTGTAAATGATGTATAGGCTCTCTTTGTTTTTATGTTTACAAACATCATATATTCTCATAATCTACACGGAGAAAATATTCAGAGAGAAGACATTCCAAATATTTAATATATGTGTCATAAAGCCATTTAAGAACAATGTAAAAGCCATTGAGAACATCAACTTTAAGGCCTCTTGTTTTCCTCTTAAATGGGTTTAACATGGGAGTCAAGTTGGAAGTGTTAGAAGTTGTGATGATTTCCGATGTTCAACATGTTCAAGTGCAGAATTTCAGAAAAATTTTCACAAGGAACTTGTAGTACAATCATACGTTTATATTTACATATGCAGAAAATAAATATGTTTTAATGATATACTGTATTATGAATGCCATCTTTAATTTTCATGACTTTAAATTAGAATTTTGATGGCACTTGAAGTCATTTTTTATGTAATTCATGTAAGTACACTGTTACATGTTTGTACCTTAGTTAATATTCACGCAAAACATTCCACTTATCAACATTTTTTTCCCGCATGAATGAGTCAAAAATATATGCGAATGCAGTTTGAAAAATTGCCTTTTTTTCTGCACAAGTATTAGACTATTAGAATTGTATAGACTTCCTTAATGTGCAAATTTGAGAAAGTAAATCCAGATGGGGTCCTTTTACAGCAAATGTTCTTTTCATTTAATGCATAAAAGTCAACTTGAAGGCATGTTCATTCTGATTTTATTGGAAAAGGAGAAATCATGACTAACACAGTCTACCCGGAAAACTACACATTGGCTTAGTGGACATAAATAAAAGAAAATCAGCAATCTGAAGAAGGCATTAGGTTAAATTAAATGTGAATAATCATTGTATAGGTAATGAGAACTAGAGATTTGCTGATAAGTATGTCAGTCAGGTTAGGAATTCACCACCACATGGCCTGTCAAATTACTGTCTGCGGTAATTCTAGAGACCCCAGTTCTGTTTTACTGAGTCAGTGAATCAGAAGTGTCGGGGTTTAAATTTCAGAATTTTCTATCGGCAAGATGTACACTTTTCCCTGGGATGTTACCTGATGCCACTATTTAGTGAAGAATATAGAGTTATGAGGTACGGGGGTAATGCTGCATATGTTGTGACACAAGCTTAAGAATCTTGAAGAGCAGAATGAAATAAAAATTTCAACATTTTTTAATACTGTTGAGAATTTTTGTGGTTTTTTTTTTTGGTTAAAATAATGAAAAGGATGAAGATAATGCAGAGTGATCAATCTAAATAAAAATCCATAAACTATACAAAACTGTGAAGGGGCATATTACATGGACCCCTGGAGATTCCAGAGGTGGGATCAGCATCCTGTGTCCGCTGGTCACAACCAGATAGATCTAAATCATAGTGCCTAAAACAATCAGTATGAAACAAGTCTGACAGCAAAAATATGACCCAATGATAGGTTATATTTGCTATCAAAGTCATTATAATGACCATAAAATTTACAAAATGCTGACTTTATACAACCCTTACAACAATTTCTGATAAGTGACTTATAAGTGATTTATTCTTTTACTTATAAGTTGTTTATTCTGGACTTACACTTCACTGATACATTTAACTTATAAGTGACTTATATGTTACTCATTAGGATTTTATATGCAAATGAGCTGCTTGACCTATAAGTGACTTATAAGCCAGTATTAGCCACTTATGCTTTATGCAAGTACAGTCACTTATAAGTGACTATAAGTGACTTATAATTCAAGCATTAACCCTTCATACTTTATCAAGTATTAGTCACTTATAAGTGACTATAAGTGACTTATAAGTGAAGTACAACACTACCTGTAAGATCTTAATTTAGAACAGAACTTCCAACCATGCAGGGGTTGCATGATATGTTCAAATCTATTTTTTTACATATACACATGTATCTGCACTTTAGATGAAATAATCAAGTAAAAATTTTATGGAAAAAAAATCACTTTCATATGACATTTCTTTGATGATGCAAACTTAACATATTAATTCAGTTTACAAACAAAAATGTTGAACAAAAAGGCAACAAGATTTAATAACCTTGAGGCTTCTTCAAATTTATGAAATCTGAAAGCAACTGAGTCAATTGATTCAAAATTTCAGGCAAAGGAAGTTAAGATAGAGAGATGATGTAAATAGAACCTACTTGTTGTACCTGATGTGAAGGCATACTCAAAATAAATCTAAAATCTCCAACATCCTTTCACAGACACAAACTTGGTTTCAAATTCTTGTTGCTGATCTCTGCAGAGACAAACTTTCTGATTGGCTACCTTGAATACCCATAATGCTCCTTGAGAGAAGTCTAGTATAGGGTAAAAATTCTAAGTCCACACTTAAATACTTTGCTCATACCATACTGATCTTCACTTATAAGTGAGGTATTATAAGTGAAATATTCACTGATATGTAGCTCATCTTTACTTATAAGTGAAGTATTAACGAAATCCGTTCCTCACTTATACATACTTTGACTTATAGTACACTTATAAGTAAATTTCAAAATTTATAAGTGACTTATAAGTTGCTAATAAGTGGATTATAAAACACTTATAAGTTTCTATTAGTTTTTTCTGTAAGGGTAGGTGGTTGAAACCCCTGTAACATCAACTTATCTGTCAGTAGCCTGTTCCAGTTTAAACAGCAGTTTCTATTCATTTTGTTGGTGAATTGTGTATATATCTAATAGATGGAATTAACCTTATCCTGTATTCCTTTGCTTTGTGGCATGATAACACACAACTTACCTCAAAGTAATTGTAATGTCGTACATTCAATTAGAATTCTGATGATTTATACATATGTGACACTCTCTGAACTGATGACTGAGTTTTTCATTTGAGAAGGCTTTTAGAATTATTTCCAATAGATTATTTTGCAAATTAGGAAATTTTAAGCGCCCAATTTGAAATGGTGATAAATTCCCCTTCTGCTTTCTCTTTTTCAAAGAATTAATTAGCTAGTGCATGAATTTTTCCAGTAAGTCTCTTCATGTACATGAAAATTTTATGGTATATATGCAATATTACTGTATATATAAGGTCCATTGTACATGGATACATGTATATGGGTGTATATTTGGTAAAATTCTTCAATAAACAAATTGTTCATATATAATTATATGATACCTATCATCCTTTCTATAACATTGTGTATGTATTGTAGGATCTCACTCCCAGAGGCAGCCTAGGTGTGAAACAGGCAGCTGTTACCCTGCGACCGGGGACCTTCTCATAGGTCGTGAGGCTAACCTGACCTCCTCGTCCACGTGTGGTCTGAGACGGCCAGAGAACTACTGTATTGTCAGTCACTTAGAGGAGGACACTAAGTGTTTTACATGTGACTCTCGCCAGCCATGGTCAGAATACCACAGAAACAGCCATCGGATCGGCAACATTGTGTCGTCATTCCGTGAAAGGAAGCTGCGATGGTGGCAGGCAGAAAACGGCAAGCAGCAGGTTTACATTCAGTTGGATTTAGAGGCAGAGTTTCATTTCACTCATCTTATCATGACTTTTAAGACCTTCAGACCAAAAGCTCTGTTGATCGAGCGTTCTTATGACTTTGGGAAAACGTGGAAGGTGTACCGATATTTTGCCCAGCGGTGTGACGAGTCGTGGCCCGGAGTCAGGAGATGGCCACCCAGAGATTTGTCAGAAGTGATCTGTGATGATCGATATTCTGATGAAGTACCCTCTACAGAGGGAGAGGTGAGTAAAGTTGTAAGGTTAAATGTTACTCAAAAACTCATGCAGGTAAGGGAAAAAAAAGTTATGCTTGTTCCCTGTGACTTAACTTCTCTCACTAGAATATTTTCCCTTGTAATTATTTCCTCCCTCTTTGATGATCAAAATTTGAAGGAATGAAATATAATATAACTCAAAAGTTCAAACTTAGAAGGAAAGATGTCCTTATTTAGCTCACCTTGACCAAGTTAAGATTACTGTATGTAGGGAAAATTTCACCCTCACGTCTGATTTTATTTTCGCTTAGACCTTTGCCCTACTTACAGTATAATGTCTACAACAGAAATGTGACTGGGCAAAATTAAAAGGGGGCAATATTGGTTGCAAGTGTGAAAGGGGGAAAATAATGTGGCAAAAATAACCCTGTGTACAGTATGCTTATACTGTATTAAAGCCATCAGGTTTAAGTTTTAGAGGCATGCAGGTCCATTTTCCATAAATCTATCTAAAGAAGCCCCTACTAGACCAAACTTGCTGCATACACTTCCAAACAGATTAATTTTGTGTATACTTTCTTGAGGTGCTTCTTATGAAGTATTTCTTGAAAGCTGAACCTGAACCTCAATAACAGTAATAACATCTCAGAATTCTCTACATCTCTGTATATACCAACTTTGCTTTGTTTGCCATATTGCAGAGGATTGGTCAGGTTAAAGTTAGTACAGCAGGAAAGGTCCATTGTCTTCTATCTGGAACCCTAGCATGAACCAAACATGCAGGAATCAGATAATGCATCCATGAACATGTTTCAGATGCCATATTTACTGGATACTTATAACTAAAACACCATTTATACAATGAAAATATCCATTGAATTTTCAGGTATTCATTCTGTGTGAAATTTTCACTAATGCAGTCATCTTTAACTTTGTAATCTTTGATAACTTTGTCCTATATGTTTTAAAGCTTGATGGAGAGCTGAGCTGAATCAATCAAATAATTGGGTTCACAAGTAGCGTAAAACTACAAAAATCTCATAAAAGTGAGTGAGCCCATAAATTCAAATTTCCAATAAAATGATCTTCTGAATTTTCAATTTGTGAATTGTATAAAAGTTTAGCATTGCTAGACAGATATCCTATTATAATGTCGCATACTTAGGTATGGAGCATGGCTTCTCTAACTTGTTTCATGCAAAACAGAACTTTACCCTTAGTGGTTTTTGCAGACAGCAGATTCATATGCAACATGTAAATGAGTTATAGATTGTGAACACAGATGACCTTAAGATTAAACTTCAATTGAAGACACCCAGACATATTTTAGGGTTATTATCCAAGCTCAGATTAGTTTCTAACTTCATCTATGAGCTTTTGCAGGCTACTTTAATTCATATACACATACACATATATATATTTTTTTAGAAATATATATCAGTTTGGGTGAATGACTGAACATCTGTTTACATTTCAATAACTTCAGAACAAACTCGATAGTAAAACAAGGGTAATCAAAGAGTGGCAGGGTGGGTTTGGGTAAACATTGAGTTAGGAACTGACAGAAATGACAGGTGAGTGGCTTGTGTACCCAGCAGACGACTTTGATTGTGGGCATTGTGGGACACAGCTGGAGGGTGATTTAAGGTCGTATGGCCCGCAGGACAATAGAGAGTGGTAAATCAGAGCAGGGCTATCTATACAGTGGAGGCACAGGCGGGTACATATTAACCCGTAGGATCACTTCACCAGACACAGAGCTGGTATACAGGCTTACAAAGTGACACTCGTTTGGATGATTAAATGTGGAGAATTTTGTGTTTTTGCATTACAGTTCACCTTAATAATCATTTAGGAACATTTAAAAAAGACTTGCTTTTGAAAGCAGTAATTGTACTCCATATGGCACAGTTATCCAAACTTTGAAATATATATTATGATTTATGAAACTAGGGCAGATCTGTGGCATTTCTCTTTGAGGGTAAATTTTCTGATATTGAACATGTTGAAGCACCAGAGACTTGAGAATATTTGCAACTTGAATTTACAGGTTTCATCTCTTGATCATATTAATTTCCCTGTGGAATTTCTTAGACTTTAACAGAAAGAAAAGTAAATTCTTTGTTTATAAAAAGATTGGAGCTTGATAGAGAGTTTAGATATTGCCAAGAAATTGAAAATATTGTAAAATTTACACTTCAAAAGTTGTGAAGTACAAATAGGTTCAAAGCCACAAGTCAACCTCAATGTGGGGGAAATTATAACCACAAGGACTTAAAATATTTGGAAAGATTTGGGTCTGGATTATGATAAACCTTGTTTATTTAAATCGTCCATGGACATTCAAGTGACCATTTAAGAGCAAATGATCAGGTGAAAGAACAACACCTTGTAGGTAAAATACACCTTGACCTGATTGCTGCCAGGTAAAACAGCTCAGTGTCAGGTATATAGACCACCAGCTGACCAGACCTCGGGGGTCACTCCGCCATAAAGAAAGAGAAAATTCGCAGTGACCTTAAAAAGCCGTGTGGAATGTCAGAATTATCAGAAACAGTACACATACAACACAAGCATTGAACAAGATATAACCATTTTACTTTGGACCTATAAAAGAAGCTGCTAGTCTATTTTGACATAGAATCCAAGAGATGCATTAGTTTTTCAGAGTAAAAGATACATTAACATTGGGTTGTTTTGCATAATTTTTCTTTTGAATTACAGGAATTGCACACAATGTTTGAGTTTGTTTTTGGTTCAAGTGTTTTCCAATACTAGTATTTCAGTTTTATCAGTGGTATTAAATTCTTTCTAGATGTAGGTCATATATATTTATACCTTAACCCTCTTTGCTGACATAGAATGATTGAGACAACTTTCCAGTAACCAGACTGTTATTTAGGACACCAGCCACTGACTGTCATCTTACAAGCTGTCACTCTATATGTTGAAGGTTAACTCGTGCTTCATCACTTTAGGTGTCTGTTGCATATCTTAAGCAACACTATAAATCACAAAGTTGATAGTTTTTATAAACTGAATATGAAGAAAAGACATTTACTGGAATGGAAAATGTATGTGTTGTGGGGGGTGGGGGGTGGGATGGTCTCTTTCTTTCTACTCTGTGCACGGTTTATTTAATAGCTATAGATTTAGAAGGGCCAAGGGTGTCTTTGAATGGCACAGTAGACTTTAAAGGCATGTCTTCGGACGTCCGACGATGTACGTTATTTTTACTGAGGTGCTATCGTGCTTTATATATTTATATTAGAGGTTTTTCTTTGTCTCTTAGTCTTATTGTTTGAAGGGCAATGTTCCACAAGATCTATGATTTTGTTTTTTTACCTCATAAAGCAGTTTGTGAAAGAATACCAATATACAGTAACATGTACAGTACATGTTTTCACTATAGTTTCAGTTTCAGTTACTTTTTTACTAGAAAGGATTTCATTCAGTGGAAGAACCACTTCAAATAGCAAGGAATTTTCTGCTGATAAGAGTTTTTCCTGGAAGCTGTGTAGAAGCTGTTTCTATTGATTGTTTACACACACTTGTGTGTGATGAGGGAGCCCCACCCATTGGTATATGTTGTGAGGGTTCTATTTACATTCTCTCTCACACACAATCATTTTATCTGTAACAGCTACAGCTGCTGGTTTGATCATTAAAGTGGCCGGCTAATCTGTAGTTTCCCCTCCAGTCAGACTTACATCCTTTGTGTTTTTATACCTATGTGTGTTATTGCACATTTATATTACAAAGTATTGGCCATTGCAGATTAATCTGCAAAGATAATATTAAAACTGAATTGAGTTGAGAATTGAGCTGTGTAATTTTCATTTTATTGAATGAGATGAATTAATGGTTTCTATTAAACATACATTGGTACACTGGCACATTTAAACAGTGCCAATCATTGTAAAGTTTTTTGGGTCGCATAGGATTAGGAAATTTAGCCCAATGTACTTGTGGAACACACAGAACAGAAACAAATGTAAAACCCCAAATATTATGTAAGAAATTGAAACAGGTGGAAAAAGCAGAACCAAGTAAATTTTACTGTCTGAGTGGTTTTTATCACACTCATTTAGGTACATGTAGTTGGATTTGCACAATATTTTTTTCATAAAACGAATGTATTTATGACTCCAAGTCAAAATAGCAAACTTCAAAACAGGACATTGCAGTCCGGTGAAAAAACTGACCCATCGGACTTGAGGCACTGCATGTACAAATGGTCAGGTCAGATAGTCCGATGTCTTTGGCAGAAACTGTCCTTATTTAATGAATGTATAGGTACTTGCTTCAGACAGATCGAGTAGCATTTGATTTGTAATGGACCCAGAATTCTACTATTTAAGCCTGTTTCATAATTTTTTATGCTTATACCAGTAAATAAATGCTGATGAGTTTCTGTATGTTATATAAACAGTTTTAAATATAGTGCATGTTGACCTTGATATAGCAGGTTTTTGGCAGGTTTTAATGATGAAATCCAGATGTCTGCAATGGTATGCAATTGGAGCCAAAACCCATTATTATGTAATAAATGAATGCAGGGGGCTATAATATGTACATCTAGCAAAACATGACACATCCAAATTCTTTTGACCAGACTATTATATCAAACCCCCCAAATCCATGGGAATGTCAATTATGAATATTTATTTTCTCAACAAGCATTGTTATATTTTCATTACTTTGTAAAGAATAGTTATTGTGTGGCATTTAAATAGATTACACAATTAAATGTAAATATCTATTTGAAATGAACACATTAGTTGTTGAATGTCGCGAGGATTTATATCTAGTATTTCATTAAACCTGACAGGTATGGTATGATTTGAAAGCTTACAGGTATACTGTATAATTCAAGGCATGGTATTTTCTGAATATAACACTTTAAAGATTGAAATTTTATTTTCCAAAGATTTATCATTTGTAATATGTGTACCTACATAAGATTGATGTCTTACATGCTGCTATAGTTCCACTGAAATAATATTCCATGAAATACAAACAGATAATACAGTTAGGTGTTTTTCTGAGCCATAACCATTCATCATACCCTCCTTTACAATATGATTTTGATGGCATAATGACCATTTCTCGGTAAAAGGATTAATATAATTCAGTAAACTTATACAAAGGTATTTCCTTGACAATATGAATTTCAGAATTTCCTTACCTAGTGACCTTCATCATTTAGACATGACCTTGAGTCAAATGATATAAACATTCAGCATGTTAAGGATTTAGGTAGGAAAATAATTTTAAAATGCTGAGTTCACTCCCATAAAGAAATCTATAAACTTCTTTTGATGTGACAGCTTAAACTGTCATAGCCAAGTGACCTTGACATTTGAGATACCTCTGTGACCTTAAGTCAAAGTGATGAAACACAATTAAGGTCATGGGCAACAATATGCCCAACTTTATACATTTTGATCTATGGTTCAAAAGTCAAGACCATAGCAAACATAGTTTTGCCTTAGACAGATACTTAGATACAAGGCAGCAGCATACTTCAATCCCATTATAGGAAGGTTGAATTTCAAAATTGTTATTTTGATTAATTTGTATCATTGTTTTGAAGACTTGGAATTATATATGCTGAAGCCTAAACTTTATATACTTGACAAGATTTGAGAATTAACACTGTTGGTTGTATGTGTTTTGTAGGTGATATTCCGTGTCCTTCCACCGTTTATCCGGATAGAGAATCCATATGATGAGAAGGTTCAGGACTTACTGAAGTTGACTAATCTGAGAGTGAACCTGACAGAACTCCATGGACTGGGTAGGTACCCCACTGGTGACTGCCTGATTATCAACCATCTCTTTTGTATCTGTTTTGATGAATTCATTCACTGGGTTGACAGGAGATAATTTTTGCTGTAATTAATGTTAAAGCCACTTCCATAAATAGAAGTACATGTAGTACATGGCCATGGCAATGATCTTGAGCTGAAAGTTGTTATTTTTTATATACTAAATATGGAATGTATTTGTGTTCCATGTGGGAATCATGCCACTGCATCTATTTCTGCTCATAGGTTGTCTGTTCTAGGTCCAATTCTGGTACTCATCAAATTTTAATTTTTCAAACCTCTTTCACTTGATTAGATATTCCATCCCTATTTTGATCAATGGCTATGGAGGCTTTTGTTATTAACTCTCTGTATGGTTTTTTTCACCTTATTGTTATAAAGACCTTGAAATTTCTCAATTATTAAATCAGGGGGTTGTTGACTTGACACGAAATTGAACGAATTTTTTATATTGAGGATGATGGCTTTAAAAGGGAGGGGGTACAAAAATATTGAAAAAATGAACAAGCCTTTGAATCCACACAGATGTATGTTTTTTATTATTATGTGTTGATGTGTTTTAAAGGGGAGGCAGATATTAAGTCACAGTCACACAAATGAACAAGTCATACCAAATATGAAGTTTGGTTCAAAAGTTATGGCGATCAACACACAGTCAAGGTGTATGTGGAAATTATTTTTGGTCGAAAAAAATATAAAGTCTCTAAAAATGCAAATATATTTTTAGCACAGTCAAGGTCACAAGGTCATTGAGCTTGGTGCCATTTAAAAGAGCTTCATTGGTCGAAAGTCTTGTTTCATGGTTCAAAAGTTATGGCTGTTTTTTAGATAACAGAAAAAAATGTGCTAATATGCATCTCTCAAAAAGTTAAAAGAATAGTTTCAAATTAAGGTAAAGTTAACTACAAAAAACAATATTATGGAAATTTGTATCTCATTAACTTGGTTAAGTTGACAAAGTACATAAAAAATTGAATACCAGTGGGTTGATAGGGAGGATTGTTGACTTTGTGGAATGTTAATGTATTAGATCTGTCTAGCAGATCAAAGTTTGGATTGACCTGTACATCTGCACATGTCACCTACAGTCAGAGCTAAGAAGGTAAACAATGTCTGGGTCATTGAAACAAAAGTCTACACTTCACAAACTTTTTATGTTAACGTAAGATTGTCGATCGGATTGAAATTTGCGGTTTGTTTGAATAGGTGCAATTTGGCCGAAGGCAAGTTTCTAGAAATGAATGACTTTTAAAAGAAAAACACTACAAAAAATAAATTGAAATGAGGATTAATTAACTTTCCAATGTCACAGATGTTAGTGTATACAGTTTTGTCAACCTATGTACAATTGATATGCCAGACATGTATGTCATACTGAAAAGGTCACCATAACATGTATAAGCGTGTCAGCATTTGCAGCAAATTTTGGCTGATTCCTTGCAGTTGGTCTTCAAAGATATTTTAATTTGTATTTTTATGCGTATTTGATATATATATATATGCTTTGAATTCACCAAAAATCTGTAATAATTTATGGCCTTTATTTTGCAATGGATCATTAATGAGATGCTGTAGAAAAAGAGGAGTCTCATACAACATGTACAAAAATAAATATATGCACAATTTTAAACATTTATACTAGTCATTTACATGTAGTAGAAGGTACTAAATGTATGTAAAAATTATAAATAAAGCAGCATTATTAATATACATGTACTTCAAAAGTCTGAATGTGTATAAATGTGGCATCCATTTCTTTCCTAGGTGACACCTTGTTGGACAGTAGACAGGAAATTAAGGATAAATACTACTACTCTATGTACGACATGACGGTGAGGGGAAGCTGTAGTTGTTACGGCCACGCCTCCCGATGTGAACCTGTCAGTGGCTATAATGTCAGACCCGACATGGTGAGTTATATGAGCAATCTATAAATCTGATGGAAACTATAGAGTGGCTTGAAAAAATAAATCGATGTCGAAAGTCACCAAAAGAAAAAATTAAGCTGAAAATTCATCAAATCCTTATATTTTGTACAATTTACACAATTTGAATGCTACCTTTGATGGCGGAGTTACTGAATTCATATGAAGAATGCACAGTTCACTTTCAAGTTACATGTACAGAATTTTTTTACAGACAATCACAGTATTTCATGACTCAAATTTGAAAACTGAATTTTTATATATATAATTTAAATGATATATTACTTTTCTGTGCGTTTAGGTTCATGGCCAGTGTGTCTGTACACACAACACCAAGGGACGTAACTGTGAGCAGTGTCAGGACTTTTATAATGACCTCCCCTGGAGACCTGCCAGGAGGGACTCTCCTAATGCTTGTAAAAGTATGTAGGAGAAGATTTTATAAAATGATAATATTCAAATGTATTAATTCTCCTTCACAATATTCACTGTATACATGCATTGTATTGTATGTTATGCAAAAATTTTGCTATTAACAAAGAATACTTTTCATGGTAAAAAAAAACCCTCAATTGTAACACATTTAAAAAAAAATTGTGATGTAAAAGATTTTTTTCTTGGATCGAAACTTGTATAAGTAGGGATGGATGATACCACAGCAGTTCAAATATAATCACAAAACCTCTGTTTTCAGAATGTAATTGTAATGGTCACTCAGACAAGTGTAAGTTTGACCCTGCTGTGTATGAGTACAATGGGGGGATCAGTGGAGGGGTGTGTCTGGACTGTCAACATAACACGATGGGGAGGAACTGTCAGCAGTGTAGGGACATGTTTTACCAGGACCCCTTCCAGGACATCCGCAGCTCCACCATCTGTAAACGTAAGTATAACATAACTCCACCATCTGTAAACGTAAGTGTAATATAACTCCACCATCTGTAAATATAAGTGTTGCATAATTCAGTCCTCTGTAAATATATTACATGTGTAATATCTCAACCATCTGTGAGCAAAAGTGTAACACTTCTCAACAATCTGTAAGTGTAACATAACCATCTGTAAATGGAAAACTTTGACCAATTGTAAATGTAATTGTAAATGTAACACTTCAACCAATTGTAAATGTAACACTCTTCAGCCATATGTAAATGTGACACTCAACCATATGTAAATGTAACACTTCTCAACCATTTGTAAATGTAGTACTCCTCAACCATATGTAAATGTAACACTCCACAACTATAAGACCACATATTAACTTTTCAAATCAATTGTAAATGTACTTAGAACTGAATTTTTTTTTTTAGAGTTAATGTGTTCGTCTGTAAGTCAAACCTTGGTTCCATCTTTTACAATAATATCTGAGATGTACGTTTTTAAAGTACTTATCATATTTCTATATCTTTCAGCCTGTGACTGTGACCCCTCGGGATCTATGTTTGGGGGGCGTTGTGACGACCACTCAGACGAGGCTAACGGTCTGGTGGCCGGGAGGTGTCATTGTAGGGAGCATGTGGAGGGCAAGCGCTGTGACACGTGTAAAGATGGCTTCTACAACCTTAACGAGGCCAATCCACAGGGGTGTCAGGGTAGGAAGTCATCTAAAAATTTATGCCCATGTTTTATACAGAAGAAGTCATCTAAATATTTATGCCCATGTTTCATACAGAAGAAGTCATCTAAAAATTTATGCCCATGTTTTATACAGAAGAAGTCATCTAAAAATTTATGCCGTTGTTTTATACAGAAATAACATTTACAGATACTGTATTTCTAAATTTTGATATTTGTTTCTTTAGCATGTGACTGCAGTATGATTGGTACCGTGACTAACTCCTCCTGTGACAAGGATAGTGGAATGTGTCTGTGTAAACGTTATGTGACAGGAGATAGGTGTGATACCTGCCATGTAAGTCAAACCTTTTATAGTCAAAAATTGAAATCTTAAAAAAATTAAAATATTGAAAATGTTGTTATTTTCCTTTATGTAGCATTCAAGAATTCTTACTTTTGATTTTATCTTTTAATAAAATTGCTGTAAATTTTTTTCAGCTTGGGTTTTATGGGTTGAGTGATATTGACACTGGGTGTACCCCCTGTGACTGTGATGTGGGCGGGTCTATCAGTGAGGAGTGTGATCAGGTGACTGGAGTTTGTACCTGTAAACCTAACATCATTGGTAAACAGTGCGACCAGCCCCGCCCTGGGTATTACTATGCTATGTTGGATTATCTACGATATGAAGCTGAGTTAGCCAAAGGATTTGGAGTAAGTGGAAAAAGGCATTTTGAATTCAGAAACGTGGAAAAATCCTACTGTTTTCTATGGCATTGTCATATTTTGCATTAAAAAAATGAATTGAGAAGAACCCATCTGTTTCTCAAACAAGTTTTACCGAGAGTGAAATAACAAAGCAATCTAGGAGATTAATCATTGTTATCAGTAAAAATTAAAGATTCTAAACAGAATATTCTTATTTAGTAACTTTTCATTATTTGAACTTTCTTATGAACTTTTTTTGTTTCATTGCAACAGCAAGTGCGTCAGTACATCCAGGAGCCCTACCCTGATGGTTATCAGCCGTGGACCGGCCCGGGGTACATGTTGATCAGGGAGGGGGACAGTCTGGAGTTTAACGTCAGCGACATAGAGTTCCCCACTAACTACGACATAGTCATCCGATATGATCTAAGGGTAGGTAACTCCATTCAGAACACTCAGTGTATGTGTGTAATAGGATAATAAATACTCCATCTTTTGGATGGATGTAACTTATGTACTGTAAGATCTGTATTGATAATTTCTTTCATTGTCATTTGCTCTCAGAAGTTCAGGTAAGTATTGGTAAATAATACTCATCAAATTTCCAATGTTAGCTAACAATTTTCTCTGATGTTTCATAGCATGTCATACCGTAAATCTGGAAATTTTTAGCAAATTTTCGATTTCATTGCATTCGCAAAAATATTTTTCTTAAAAATAAATTAGCTATGAGAAAATGTAAACAAAGCATTGGTCATTCGCAAAATTTTGAGACATAAAAATTAATCAACAGCAATTTGACCCGAACTCGCAAAATAAAATTGACGTAAAAATTTCCAGATTTACGGTACTTTTGACCTAGTTTTGTACTGTATTTGATACAGATGCCTGAGGTATGGGATGAAGTGTTGGTAACGATCCGTCGTGACAAAATCCCTGAGGAGAATGGACCCTGTGCCAATCATGTGCCTAGAGATGATGAGAAAAGCACCACACTTAACCCAGGTCTGTTGGAAGGAATTAAGTTGGAATAATTAGTATTAGGGCTTGATTAATATTGGCACAATATCAGTATTAAACCACTGAAAAAATTAATTTGTTTTGAAAGTAGACCTGCACAAATTAAATATAATTTTTTATAGGAGCACGGTATGTAGAGGTTGTCCCCTCGGCCTGTCTGGAGCCGAATACAAACTACAGAATCCGTCTGGACTTCCGTCGTTATAAGTCTGGATTATCCACACCAGACGCTACAGCCCTCATCGACTCAGTAAGCTTGGGTTTCTGCTTAGTTATATAACTTTTTTCAGTAAATTTTTTAGAAGGGAAATCAAACATAAGCAACTATAAAAACCTGAATCAAATCCATTGAGTCTAAGTTTGTTTATCACTAAAACGTGCCTTGTTCTTTACAGATTGTGCTGGTTCCTGCCACAGACAGCATTCCTATTTTCCAAGTGTTTGGGTATTTGAACTTCATGAAGAACCAGTTTATCCGTTACCAGTGTCGCGAGAAGCAGCTATCACCATACCGACCTAATTACTCAGACTTCTGTAAAAAACTGACTTTCAGCATCAGCACAAGCATGCTGCATCGAGCTCTGCGTAAGTTAAACTTGAAATTTAAAATTCTTACTTTCATTAAAAATTGCTCTTATTTAGTCCAAATTAATCTTAAGTTAATGTAGAAATAAAGAGAGAGACTGTAGTGGTTGTGAAAATGATGTTGATTTCTTTATCACAGCCTGCGAGTGTGATCCCACTGGTTCATTAAACTCAGAGTGCGAACCAGCCGGTGGACAGTGTCTGTGTAAACCTAATGTCGTCGGCAGGAAGTGTGACCGCTGCGCCCCGGGTACCTACAACTTTGGACCTGCGGGCTGTTCTGGTAATTAGAATTTTAGAGTTTGTAACCTGTTATACATTATGTTATACAATGTAATTGAGAACCCATAACAATATAATTGTTAAGATATGTCATGATTTGTTTTTTCTTCTAAATGTGTACATATTTACATGATAATTAATTTTGATTACCAGCCTGTAATTGCCATGAGTACGGATCTCGTGACAACCTGTGTGACGCCCAGACAGGACAGTGTCTGTGTATCTATAATGTGGGATCCCGGGACTGCAGTCAGTGTGAGCCCGGATACTGGGGGTTCCCTCAGTGTCGACAGTGTGACTGTAATGGAAACGCAGAAATCTGTGACGATCTGACCGGAAAATGTATCGGATGTCTGAACTTCACTGCTGGAGAACATTGTGAACGGTAGGGATTTATATACTATAAACATTAATATAGTGTCTCTTGTTGTCTATATATGTATTGCTTATGCAATGCTGTTTGAGCTTTTAAGTTAAAAAATTTAAACATTTAACTTGCTTCATGTAAAGATTCTTATATCATAATTTATTTCCATAGATGTGATGCTGGTTACTATGGTGATCCCAGAAGTTACATCAGGAAGCCTTGCCGCCCCTGTATGTGTCCCGGGGGTCCCACCAGTCAGACCCAGCACGCTGACTCCTGTGAGGAGGACCCCAGACGGGGGGTCATTGTCTGTAACTGTCTACCTGGCTACCAAGGTAAATATATCCTAATACAGATACAAACATAATTGTGTGCTCTAAATGTTCAGTAATTGAAATTTTGAAACTAATGTACAAAGCAAGTTTTTATTAAGTTGAACTCACCCTGTGGTGAATTTATCCTGCCATAGGTCCTAACTGTGACACATGCAGTGAGAACTACTTTGGAAACCCCCTGATAGCCAACAGTACCTGTGAGCCGTGTGTGTGTAATAACAATATAGACCCTGACGTGGATGGCAGCTGTGATACGTCCTCTGGGGAGTGTCTGAAGTGTCTTTTTAACACGGAGGGGTTTAACTGTGAGAAGTGTAGGCCAGGGTACTATGGGGATGCCACCACCCAGAGCTGTGTGGGTAAGTGCTAAAGCTCTGTCATCTGTCTGTAGTTCATAAAGCTGTATTGCCTTTGTTCACAGAATATCCAAAGTGATGGTTTGTTTGATTTCATATGATATAAATGAGTTGTAAGCTAAGGTGTAAACCAAAGTTAATCATAATTAATTTATGTCTGCTGTTCAATCCAATTCAATGAATAAAATATATTTTAAACTGAAATTAATCATCAGTGCAGTCAGGTATAAATTTTTGCTGATTTTTCCAGAGTGTGTGTGTGACCAGTATGGTACGGACAGCTCTGCTGGACCCTGTGACAGAGAGACCAGTCAGTGTCCGTGTCTGCCTCATGTGACAGGACTGAGGTGTGATGCCTGTCTGCCCGGGTACTGGAACATTACCAGTGGGGAGGGCTGCTCAGCCTGTGGGTGCGACCCTGAGGGATCATTGGGAATCACCTGTAATCAGGTAAAGGAAAATCTTAAGTAATGACAATTGATGAGACCTGTAAAATTTTTTTTTTAGAGTTTTTTTCATGAAAGATTGCTGAAGGTCCTCTTGGAAATTGTGATTACTGAAGATTCTAGAATTAAAAAATCCAAGGATGAAATGGTTAAATAAAACCCATTTTGTTTTTCCAGTTTGATGGCCATTGTTCGTGTCAGTCAGGGAGGGGAGGCAGAGACTGTAGCCAGTGTGAGGATCTCTACTGGGGCGACCCTGAAGTCCAGTGTACAGGTACATAACAAAGCAATAGATGAGTAAGCTGAGGAGAATTTGTATTTGTTCCAAATTTATAATAGTTTAAGTAAAACAAAATAAAAAATATAATATGAATTAAAATGTGTAACTTTCAGTAGATACATGTGTATGTTATCAATGATGTGACAATAAATGTTATGGTTAAGTTATTAATACTTTCCATGTTATTTGCAGCCTGTGATTGTAATGGTCAGGGGTCTGCTGACATGCAGTGTGACCGTCGTACCGGTCAGTGTGTGTGTCTGACTGGTATAAGCGGCTATAAGTGTGATCGCTGTGACAGAGGTACCACTGGAGAACTCCCTAACTGTAAACCCTGTGGGGAGTGCTTTGACAACTGGGACCGAGTCATCAGAGATCTCAGAGGTATTGATTTACTGTTTACTTTTTTGCCTCATCTGAGCCCATTGTTCAAGTGTCTATCAAAGATTTGTAAGCTTTTGAAAAAATTCATAAAATGGTAAATTGAATTCAAGTTTGTTCAATTTATGGCCCTTTGGTTAGGATGTAGTAACAGCAAAAGCAAGTCAAAGGAATGTGGAAGAATTATCTTCAAAATACTCTTTCTCCCTAAAAAAAAAAAAAAGCAGGGCCATAATAAGTCAGGTAGTTTTGCAAACATCCTTCATATGTAGTGTACATTCAGATTTCTTTAAATATTGGATTCAGGAGTTAGGTTTGCTAAGGGAATAAATATTGAAACTTCTGCGAAAACCTTATAAAGAATTGCATTTTAGTGATATTGCTTTGTAAAGATCTTGTAGTGCAGATTCAGATTTGTGTAAATTATGTAAATTATGACTTCTGTACAAGGTTGGGGCACAAAAAAAAGAGAACAATGCCATATTTACTGTAAATCACTTTTTATTAGCGAGGACTTTATTTTCACGTAATAACGCGAGATGATATGCTCGCGAAAATTTCATTCTCGCGTATACATAATAGAATTCCTTAAGATTATATAGAGCAATGACCACAATTCGTGAAAATTTTGTTTCGCTAATAAAGAGTCAATGACTATCTCGCAAAAATAAGGTGTCACGAAAATTAAGTGATCTACAGTAGTTTAATGTATGTATAATCTGTTTTAAAAAAAAAACGAGGCCACTATTCGTAGAATAGTTAGGCATTTAGTGTATTATTATAACATTTAATATGATGACTTTTCATTTTAAGGCCAGACCCAGTATTTGGTCAATGAAGCCCTGAAGATCAAAGCCACTGGAGTAGAGAAAGCCTTCGAGAAAGAGTTTATGGAGATGGAGAACAACATTCAGGAAATCCGGGACATCATCCGTAACGCTAACGTGTCATCCAACGACATCAAGGACATCGAAAGGAACCTCAAGCAGCTCAGGTTCACAGCTTCAGATAAATATACTGAATATGTTATATAAGTAGTGATCTTAAAAGTCTAGGAAATACACTGTATTAAAGCTGAATTTTCACATTTTGGATACTTTCTGCCCCTGAGAAAAATTCACTTTATCATAAAAGAATCACATTTAGTTATTTATGTCATCAACAGCTTAAAACTACTGTGCTGAGATCTTACAGTTATTTTCAAAGATTTCTCTGATGTCATAGGTTTTTGCAAAAACTAAAGGTTTTTTTTGTTAGAATGCTTTACAATAGTTGTAATGATAAATTTCGCCATAATTATTCTCTTTAAAAAATTTTTACAAACTTTTCCTTCTAAAAATTTTTACAAGGTATTATCAAACATTTGTTTCATTTAGTTTCATACATGTATTGTTTAAGTTTAATTTATACTAAAATATTCATCTCCATGAAAAATTTGATTTTTTTGAAGGGAATCCTTGAATATAAGCTACAGTGACTTGGAGAGAACTGAGGTGGAAATAAACATGAGATCTGACAGCATCCGACAGAGTAACAACGATATTAAGGCCCTACAGCTGGGAGTCGACAAACTGAAAGTGAAAATAGAAAACCTCAAGAAGAACGCCACCAATGTACAGGCCCAGGATGTAGAGGGTAAGGGCTGAAGGAAGCACTTGTCCCAAATTGCATTATGCATAGATAAATCAGAAGCTTTTAAATCTTTATAAATTAGGCAAATTAATAAGCAAGCATCCTTAAGTTGTGAAGATTCAAATTAGTTTGAATTATGACATTCAGGATCAATAAAATCTAGACTCCTGTAATTAAGGCTTGACATCAAGTCTGAAACACACTGTACCTTAAATGTAATGAAATATTGAAGTTTTTGACCACATGAAGCTCTTTTTAGGAAAGTGGAGGTAACTTGCAAGGATGGACCCTTCAATATTTTATGTTTGATGTTTTAGGTGCCTATAACTTAACAAAGAAAGCACAAGAAGTGTCCATGGCCGCCCAAAGGAAAGTGAATGCTACAGACGGAATTCTGGACCAGTCTGAGAAAATCCGACTGGAAGTAGAGAACATGATTAACACTCAGCATGCCGAGTTTGAGAGAAAGGTCAAGGTGAACGAGGAAAATCTCAACGAAATCAACAACCAGATCTCAGGCCTCGGGAATAAAATAGCCGACATCAATGAAATGGTACAAAACCTACTTGATATTTTTGGTTTATGGATTAAATGCATTTTTAAGCATCACATGTTTGATTTAATGTAAAGAGACTATTAGTTTTTTGCACCATTTCTGATGAAAGAAGACATCAAGGTTTGAATTTGATGTCGGGATTCAGGATTTGTCAAGAAAAATGACATTTTCTATGATATCATTTTTAAAGCACCTATGAAGATACTGATGATGTTGTAAATCTTTTGTTATAGGTATGTGACAAGCGTGGCGAGCCGTGTCACCCTGTGTGTGGGGGAGGTGGATGTGGTGTTTGTGGTGGAGAAGAGAGCTGTGAGAATGGAGCTGTGAAGAAAGCGGAGAATGCCCTGGACCTCGCACGGAAAGCGGAGGAACTACTGACCATCAAGGAGAGGAATGCCACCGATCTCCTACAGAAGGTTAGAGCTTGAAGGAAGATAGTTACTTTTAAACATACAGCGTACTTGTATTGATGTACTCGGATCCTTATGCTTTGTATGACTTAACCAAATAATCATAAGTGTAGCTTATTTCAAAAAATGAAGAATACATAAAAATTCAAACTTACTTTGTGGGGGGCATAAATCTGAAGGACAAGAATGCACAAAAAGTGTTCAGATATGACACATTTTGGTTACTGTTAAATTACGGAATTCTGTAGTCTACATTACAGATAAAAGATTGTAATGAGGTTTCTATTGCTTTACAGCTGCAGAATTCCCAGAGAGGAGCAGAGATGGGGAGAGATGAGGCCCAGATGGCTTACAATGAAGCCCTCAAAGTTAAAAACGAGACCGAATTCGCTCGTACCGCTCTTCAGGATCTGTTTGTCAGGATCTCTGGCTTCCTGTCAGCAGATGGCGCCACTCCTGATGATATCAAACAGGTAGGTTGACAGCAGGAATAATTTACATATGTGCCTTTATTTTTTCAGCTTTATTGACTTTGAATTTATGGAACATATAGTCATACTTTTTCATTTGGTGTATTAACATGTTCTTGAATGTTGAGGTGTATGTACATTTTGATATAGATTGCAGTTGTAATTGTCTTCATCCTACAAGAAGTGTTGATAACATCAATATCCCTTACTTTATTTTTATAACAGATCGCAGAGGAAGTGCTGGCAATGAGTATTTCTTTGACCCCGGAGCAGATTATGGATTTGGCTCAGAAGATTAATGTCACCATACAGGGGCTCCAGAATATTGATGATATTCTAGCAGAGACCAGCAGTGATCTGGCCAGGGCCAAGGGTCTAAAAGACAGAGCTGAAAAGGCTGAGTAAGTCAGAATCTTCAGTGTGTTTGTCAATATAGAGTTTTATTATACATAAGGAAATAAATGTAAATCCTACAACCCAAAGATGATTGATAGCTCTAGTTATGTTTCTTACATCAGCATAAAAAGTAAAATTATTTGCAATAGTGATATCTGCATTATAAATGGTTACATTTACTTTCATACAGGGCTGATGCCAAATCCATTTTGGAGAAGGCAGAGGATGTTCAGGCGAATCTGAAGGGGGCCACATCTGCCCAGGAGGCAGCTCAGAAGGCCATCAGTCAGGCCGACATAGACATACTGGACGCAGAGCAGTACCTCACACAGGTAAGGGGAGAGCATACTGGGCAGTGCATATATATATATATAATGAAAAAAAGTACAGATATTTACGTTTACTTTGATATTTTAATTTAGCATTCCAGTAATGCACATACAATGTTCAAGTGAAGGGGATATTGCATTGTACATGTAAATAAGATAATGAACAATGATATCTGTTGATTGTTGTGTTATAGATTGAGTCGGAGACGGCGGCCGCCACAGACAAGTCTAACCAGTCCCTGGCGTTACTGGGGGCCCTGAGGGAGAGACTGAGGGACCTACAGGGGAGGTACATAGAGAACGAGCAGAAAGTGTCCAACGCCGAGAGGGCGGCCCAGGAGGCCAAGAGACTGGCCCAGAAAACAGAGGAGGTCAGTAAAGGAACGAGGAAAATCAGATCATTCTATTCTATAAACTTCCCATCTACAACATGTACAAGTTTAATTTAGTTTGATGAAAACTGCAGACATGTGAAGTAAATGAACTTAACCCTATCACCAACCAACTCTCTCCCCCCCCCCCCAAAAAAAGAGAAAATATGTACAAGTTCTGTTTTCTTGCTAACTTTTCATACATTTGTACCATCACAGCTAATCTTATCAGAGACCTCTGCAAAATAATAAAGAAAATATTTTCATTTTGATGTTAAATTTTTGTGGACATGTGAAGAAATCTCCATTTCTTTTCAGGCTGCCAACAAATTGCAGACCAAGTATAATGACACTGCTCAAAATCTGAACTCCAGATATAATCTCACAACTCAAGCTCAGTCACGAGCTGAGATTCTCAAGAAAAGGGCAGATAAACTTGCCTTAGATACAACTGCCAAATTAAAGAATTTAGCCGGTAAGTATTTATGAGAAGATATGAGTTGAATTCATCTTAATGAAAAGTTCATTTCAAAACTTGACTTTTAATTCTTGATAAACATGTATTTTTAATGTTAATTTATGTTGATGTCAATATAAATAAATAACAAACAAATTCAAATGAAGACACATATAATGTTAGCATCTTAGCATTTGAAGAAAATGTTGCATGGTCTTGAAAGATCCAAAGCAGTATTAAAAACAGGCAGATTTTTTTTCAGAAATGCAGCAGAACTTTGATACCAATGAAAAGAGACTAAACAAACTTTCCACAGATATAGATGAACTAAATCGACGAATGGCCGAGTATCTACAAGCCATAAACGATAAAGCCACAGAGTATTATAACTGCAAGACCTAGGGTTAATATACATGTAGACATGTCACTGTCAGACTTGTAACAGGGCTGGAAAGAAATCTATGGATTATAGATAGGGATCAAATTTTGCATGTAATCTAAAGTGGAGGAGTATCGGTATTACATTTATATAAGAGATATATGGTCAGCATTATTGTAAGTTATATATAATCTGTGATACCAGTCTTTATGTATCAATCTTTCAATCCAAACATGAAAAGGAAATGTGGTGGTATTGTTTTAGACAGTTGTGAGTGTGATTGACTATGTTTTAAAATTCATGGGACATTTTCCACTTAATTTATGGTACATTGCTACTTAAAGGTATAATACTGACTAAGGTTCAGATTTATGTTATGATCAATACCAGGCTTATATACAGTATAGACCCAGTGAGATGGACAAATGTGTCATGTTTTTTTATAGTGTATATTATAGCTTTTTATTTAAATTTATTCCAAGTTGGAAATGATTTGTACAGGTGTTTTATATATCTGACCTGCATAAGTTTGCCAAGGTATATATTATATTAGCAGGGATGTGTTAGCCACAAGTACTGTTTCAGTCTTGTGAAGATTTTGTATTAATTAGAACTAGGTAAACAGTCATGTCCCATTTTATTGTAAAGTGAATGACTGTATGTTTGTACTTATGTCCTATATGTATTCACATATTTTTATGGTAAAATTTGTAATAGTCGCATGTGTTCTAGACGTTTTTATGTCTCTCATTTTATAGCATGGTTTATACATAATGCTCATACATTATAACTGTGATGTTACTGCTGCTTAAGAACAACTGTTTACATTTACGTGTGTCATTATTCTTTATTCAAGATGAACAGAATCTTAAGACAAATATAACATATTCTTAATTTCTCATTACACATTACTGAAAACTTTTTCCTTTGTTTTAAAGAAAAAGTATGTTACGCTCAGAGGTAGCGGAAAGAATTGAGAATTTTACCAGAGAACGAAGGTTAAAGCTTTAATATAGGGCATAATACAGGTACATTTTTTGTAGTACATCAAAGTGTATCCATATACCTTTCTCTTGATCTGACATAATACACAGGGGTTGTCATGTGCTTTATACACCAAGTTTTAGGTCAATTGGACTAGAAATCTCTCAATTCATCTTTAATTTTCATATTTTAAATAAATGATCAATAGATAATTGCTATAATTAATATTTGATTTTGTTATACTAGCTTCTCATTTTCACCTTCTTCATTATACAACTTGTCAAATGTATGTATGTTGGCCTTGTACACAAGTTTTGAATGTTCGTATTTCATATGGTGCTATTGTATTTGGTACAAACTGCAAATCCTGATATTTTTATTATCCACTGTATATTGATAGGGATCATTGAATAATATGTTTTGAAATTTTTACTGAAGGTTGTTGAAAATAACAGAGTCAGGGAATTGAAGGAAATGGTATTTTACTATTTGTAGCTGAATACAACTTTATATGGTCTTCCAAACTTTATAGTAATAATATAATGTCAATATGATATTTGAATTAGTACAGCTGGTTTGTCAAAGAAAACCAAACCAAAAACAACAGAAATCTTAATTTATCAAGCCTACCTCTTTGTAAACACATTTACATTTTTTCAATATGGTTGTATTAAACTAGGAAAACACTACTTTAAGGAGAGTAATTACATGTACATGTATGTGGATGTGAAGGTCTTGCTTAATAACTATAGATGTAATTAATATTTAAATATTAAGTGTTTGTATTTCTTCATAGTTTTTAAACAGTATTGACAGATTCAATGAAGATGCTACAAATCTGTAATGTAAATGGTACATTTTTTTTAAAAAATTGAAAAATTGTAGGTTCTTGTACCTGATATTTTTACGAACTTTGCTTAAAAGTTGTGAGAATTTTATCTTAATTTGCAGGTAACCCTAAAACTTGCAGTGTACTTGTTTCTTCCTTAGTTATGGGTTATATTTAGTATGCATCATCTTCAAATTCAGTTTGTTCAGTTATTACCTCAAAATAAATTCACATTTTACAATAAATGTTCATGTTTTTTTTTTATATCATGAACATTTACCGGCTCACAGACAAATCCTTACAAGAATAAAATAACGACAAATCATGACTGTTTGAATTCTTCTGCATTGCATTTTTAATTTCAGAATTTTGATTGAATACAATAATTGGTACTAGTATTTGTTCATGATGTGTCCTGGAGCTATGAACTTGCATTTCTCTTGAAAATTGAAAATGGTAAAATGTACATGTTAAAAAATGGTCTAAAATGAATTATTGCATTTATCAAAATATCATACAAAGAGAAGTTTATTTGGAAAACCACAAATTCAAGAGAATGTAACTCCATTTAAGACTGAGGATTGTTGAATACCTCTCAGTGTACTCTTTCCAACCAAAATGTTTTCATCAGGCCTTTCCCCTTGAATAGAAAAAAAGTATCTTTTATCAAATGATAACTCCCTCAAGATAATCTATTGTGGACCCATTTATTTAAAAGGAAATAAATGGCTAGACATGTCTAAATTTTTGGAATAAATTATATTTTACTACTTCAAGAAAATATTTGCATGAAAACAACTCTATGCATTTCTTACTTTGATATCAACTTCACCTCGCTCTAGAATTTGATATTCAATGAATTTTTCAAGTATTATCTTTGTTGGTGCAGATATATGTATCTTCATAGCTGAAATGAAAATTTTGTATCTAAGAGAGAAAAAACATTAACAAGACATGCATCAGTTTAAAATAAGCATTAAATATTTCTCGGAACAAAAATCTTGTATGTAAATATATCTTCAATCCAATCGTCACAATTGTTGAATTCAACGAAAAAGAAAACAATTCAACGAAAAAGAAAAAAAAAGTTTTGTATTATTTTTTTTTTTACCGTCTAGGTCAATTCTTGCCAGGTTGATCACTTTGATAAATTTATTCTTCTTCCACAGTGACAATTTCAGAAGGTAGTTTGTATACGTTTTTTTATATGACATAGAGATAGCTCGTTTTAATACAGGTTTTCCAGCCAATATTGTTCATTTCCATGCATAGTTTCTCGTCAAAGGTAGCTAAATAACATTCAGTACAAGTGGAGATATATTAAATGATCTGAATTTTTGATAGTGTATTTATAGTGAAGCACAACTGTTTCTGACATTCTAGAAATTCCTACCTTCCCCCGAGGACTCCATTCTTGATGCTGTATTAACTGTATCCCCAAACAAACAATACCGCGGCATGGTCAACCCCACCACTCCAGCGACAACTGTACCTATAGAAAACAACAAACAATACCGCGACATGGTCAACCCCACCACTCCAGCGACAACTGTACCTATAGAGAAACAACAAACAATACCGCGGCATGGTCAACCCCACAACTCCAGCGACAACTGTACCTATAGAAAACAACAAACAATACCGCGGCATGGTCAACCCCACAACTCCAGCGACAACTGTACCTATAGAAAACAACAAACAATACCGCGACATGGTCAACCCCACCACTCCAGCGACAACTGTACTTAGAGAAAACAAACAATACCGCGGCATGGTCAACCCCACAACTCCAGCGACAACTGTACCTATAGAAAACAACAAACAACAACTGTACCTATAGAAAACAACAAACAACAACTGTACTTAGAGAAAACAACAAACAACTGTACTTAGAGAAAACAAACAATATCGCGACATGGTTACACATGTTACCCCACTACTCCAACTGTACCTATAGAAAAATTAAACAACACCGCGGCATGGTTAACCCCACAACTCCAGCGACAACTTTACCTATTGAAAACAACAACAAAGCGCGATAATTAATACCCCTAGTCCAGCAACAAATGTACATGTACCTATAGAAAAACAATAACGCTACATGGTCAACGCCTCTGTGCGGACTGTGCCTACAGAAAACAAACAACGCAACATAATTAATACCCCTATTCCAGCAACAACTGCACTTGTACCTATAGAAAACAACAAACAATAATGCGACATGGTTAACTCCACTACTCCACCTATAGAAACAACAAAAATAACGTAACAATGTTTATCCCACTCTTCCAGCACCTGCTTTACCTATAGAAAATATCAAGCAATAACTCTATATTATTACCTCCTACTACTCCAGCAACAAATGTACATGTAGAAAACAACAAACAATAATGCGGTATATTTAACCAAATGAAACATATGGAGATAACGGACAATATCCAAAATCAAAAGTCCATAACACAGTACAAAATTGGAGCAGAGCAAAAGCGGACCCCGAAAACATCAGAGGTGGGATCAGGTGTCATGGAGGAGTGAGCATCCCCTACTGACCGGTCACACCCGCCGTGCTACTTGTCATGATCGGGAAATGACGGAAAATCCGTCGTCTATTTAGTGTATAAATAATGGACTAACAATAAGTATGAAAAACGCCAGTCAGCATTTGACTCAATGATAAATTGTATTTTCTTACAAGGTCATTGTATCGACCATAGAACTTACGAAATGATGACTTTAAACGAGACTGCTGAAATTCTGGTTTCTCAATAATTTACCTCGTTTTAGAAATTGTTCATACGTAGAGCATGCTCTTGCGTATCTCAACTGAGATATATAAACTCCGTATGCAGGTGATGAAGGTATATTGCTGCATAAGTAAGGGAAGTTGACGATAGAAAAGTTAAAGTCATCAAGTTTATCATAGAGCCTGTTTGTTAGATTACCATTAACGTATTTTTCAAGTAAAATATCCAAATATGAAACAGATGTGTCGCGGGAAATTCGAATGGTTGTGTATAAAGTTGAAAAGTCGTAAGTTTTTAAGTTGTTGATTTTGGTAAAATCTTGTGCTTTCAAATTCTCCAAAAGTTCCTTGGAATTTTTAAGTATCCACATCGGATTTAAACCACTTCTTGAATATATTGTTACACAGTACTCTTGAACTTTCTCCTTCACTACTGTTAATATCTTAATGAGGAATATAGAAGTAACCCAACAACAATGGTATACCAGTAGAAAGCAACAATGGCGTTGCATCATCAATCAAGTAGACCTTGATATTTATGGCTTTTTTATGGGTCTAATTAAGACAAATACCCGTACATGGATTTCAAAATAAGAGCACAACAGTGAATGATGTAGAGAAAATATACAACAATAACGATCTGTGAAAAAGGCATAAAACAACTCCGGAAATTCCAGACGTGGTATCAGGGGCTGAGATGATGTCCCAGTCACAATTAGAGCTGTACCTGAGTGGAGTCCTATTCGGATTTTGAGCTGTTCGTCAAGAAGATGTCGTATTGTAAATGTCTGTACTTTGTCTTTGATTGTCAGTGCCATATCGGCGATTTCTTTGGCGTGGTAAGGTCCTATCCTTTCTGGTAAGCCTGCCACAACCATGTAAGCATCACCTATGGTTTCCACCTGAAAAAGATCGTAGTGTTTGGTATATAAATAAACTTATTTTAATGTGTTTAATTATCATCGAGTTATTTTTGAGTTACTGTTACAGTATTAAATTTTAATATCTTGTTTAATATTTTGACATAGTTATAATTTTTGAATCCGATTATTATATCTAATAATACACTTTTTGACATGTCTTACTTTATTCTTAATAAGTTTTCTCTGGAAACCTTTTTAGCTAAATATGTCCTTGAGAAAGGGGAATTTGAATTTCTAAAAACATTCTACGAAATCATATTCTGTAGAATCGATCAAAAGAAAAAAAAACGAATTGCAATTTCACAATTTTCAGAAGTTAATTTTCAGCAGTAAACAAAACGTCATAAAAATAGCTAATATAGTTAACACGCTGAAATAATTTTAGCAATCACTGTTGATCGGACCACTTCTTCAGGTGCAAAATTAGCCAAAATATGACGTCATCGAACAAATTAAATTCTTCTTGTAACATATTTATTTCAAATGGTTGTCATTTAAATGATTTAATCATCAAGGTGTAGAACAAAACAAAATGCAAGTAATAATATACAGATATACACAGTGCGCTCTTGGTGATGACATACAATGTAATTTGTTTTGCGTTTTTAATTGGTAACTGTAACTCATTAATTTTCATTGTGATGAAGTCAGTGGACAAAAATCACCTTGTACACCTTTCGGTCATTGATAATGGAATCAAAGCAGGTGTAGAGATCATTGAGGAAGGCCACCACCTCTAATGGCGTGCTCCTGGCCGCCAGAGCGGTGAATCCGACAATATCACTGAAGTAGATAGTCACCTCATCAAACGTCTCCGGATCAACAGACTGTCCTAGCTGTAGACTCTTAGCCACGGATCTACCAAAACAAAATTACCTGAATTGAAATAAATGAATTTCAATATTGAATGCTTTATATACATAAAAGGGATGTCTACTCCTTCATAGCACTTGATCCATCTTCTGATGTTTTAGAGATCCGTGTTTGCTTTGCTCCCAAATTGCATTGTTTCATTTGGATTTTGAGTCTGATAACTAGTCATGATCTCCGTATTTTACGTAAAAGAAGGAAAGCGATATATCGAACTTGATTGTACATTTCAACCTTTTAAAACTCTTTATAACAGAGAAAAAGGCAACTAATGGAAGTTCTTTGAGTTGTTCGATGGAGGATATGATTACCATAGGTAATATAAGATTGAAGAGCTCATCTCAACATTGTTATATTTCAATGAGGCAAAGACTCCCTCTTACAAAAAATCAAATAGTGTACATTCTTATATGATAAATTGATCCAAGATTGGTCCAGGTTAGAGCTTGTAGTAATTTGGGAATTGACTTGTTCAAAAACAAAGACTTTCATTCTTTCAGAAAATGTATGTCAGCTTTAGCATCCAAGGTAAGTCTGTTAGTGTGCCTCATCCATACATATTTCGTTTAGTTAAAAGTGAGACAAATCCAGCACCTAAAGCAAGTCTGATGGTGTGCATGCATCTCTAGATGCAAAATCTTTGCATGTTTGGTCCACATATGGCCTCCAGTTTCACTGGAATTATTTTGTGAAAGAATGGACTTAGTCCAAAAAAATTAACAAGGTTTCTCATTCAGAAAATGTAGGTCAAATTCAGCATTTCAAGAAATTCTCTTCGTGAGCAACCCTATACATGCTGAATCCTTGAAAGTTTGATTTAGAAAGGGTAATGTGGGCTTGAAGTTCCACTTGAATGAGACAGCTCCAATAACTCACCTGGTCACTCACTCAGAAAACGTAAATTGCACCCGAAGTAGGTCTATATATAATGCACACATTTGTGCATCATCCATGCAAGTTACATCGTGTATTTCAGATAGTTCTTATAGTTTCTTGGTAACTGATCCAAAAATTTGAAATTGTTCTTATCTGGAAAAATAACTTAACTCAACTCCAGTATCCATAGCAAGTCTGATAATGTACATTCATAGATGAGGCATATGGAGATAAAAACGGTATTCAAGCTCAAAAGTCAATATAAAATAGGATCAGAGCAAAATGGACCTCTAAAACATAAGAAGTGGGGTCAGGTGCTATAAAGAGGTGGGCACCCCCACCAGCCAGTCACACCCGCCGTCTGCTTCTTTTCATGATCAGGAAATAAAGGAAAATCCGTGCACAATGCGATTTCTAAATAATGATCTAACAAATAATTTGAAAAACGTCAACTGGTCAACTTTTGACTTAAGGTGGTTCCACCCTCACAATTTTATAGGTTCAAAGTACATAAACTGCATTTATTTTCTTTTAATATACATTAAACTTTCCAATTATTGCAAAAAAATGTATAGGTCACCATATTATTTAAGATGCGAAACATAAATAAACAGAAGTGTATGTCAACATAAAAAAATCGCACATTTTTTGTAAACAGTATTATGAAAAATATGTAAAAACTGGTTAAAATGCATAATTCTGATGCTGAGTGTTCCTAAATACTTCCTACGTAAAAGATACTTTTGAATTGTGAGTATCAAGGAAACTATTTTACAATAAAGCAAATGCCTGAATGAAGAGCCCTTGGAAGGAGTTATTGCCCTTGCCAACATTTTTAAAGATCGAATAATTGATTAAATATAGAAAATATGCATTTTTAAATTCTTTAACTTAACAATATTTATCATTACACCTATTGTAAAGCATTCTTCCAAGAGATATTGTTCTATTAGGTATGAATTTAAACTAATTACAGTTTTTGCAAAAACCTATGACATCATAGGAGGGTGGAATTACTTTAAGGATATATTGCATTGTGTCCACCACAGAACTCAAATGATGGCTTTAAGCGAGAATGTTGAGATTCATGTCTTCAAATTGTTTGTCAAATAATTTCCCCGTTTTAGAAATTTTTCATATAAAAATTTAGAGAATGCTCTTGCGTATCGAATCAACTAAGGGATACAAGTATTAACCCCTTATGCAGGCGATAAAGGTATATTGCTGCGTAGGAGTTGACAATTGAAAAAATAAGTCATCACATTTATCATAAAGTGAGGTAGTTGGATTACTATTAACGTCTTAAATTAGCAAAAAACATGTATCCAAATATGAAATAAATGTATCAGAGTCTGTGGAATGTTTTAATTCAAGCTCATTTGAATATATCGCTTCGACGTATGAATGGAAATAACTATTATTAATGTCGAATTAATAGCCAGATCAAGTGTTTTCTTCTTCTCATGCATAAGACTTTGAATATATTCATATGAATGCAAATAAAAACTGCTAATAACGTAGCGCAATTGGTACCCATGTGATTCCTACAGATTTTACTCCTGTGTATAATCAGAATGTTTTTAACATAATAATTTTGCAAATGACCGATGACAAGGTAAGTAAATTTACGAGGTACATGTATAAGTGTGGTATATATAGAGATAATAGTGACTTTTAAACCCGCATGCTTTTAAATTTTAACCTGTATATGAGACATTACCCGACCCTTCCTTTGATTTAAAATGCAGCATCTGAAACCCGACCGGTACAGAGAAACGTACTTAAACTTAAAGCAGTATTCATTTATTTATGATCAATTATATGGTATAAAAATAGTAGAAAAGAAATCTACTTGGACGCCCATCTCAAGCTTCCCTCACTACTTTGAAGTGAGCTCAATCTTAACACTGTAACTTTATCAATGTGTGTCAAAAATAAATCACATATTTTAATTTGTATATGCATCACATTTCAGTCTCTCCTGATATCAAAGCTATGAAAGGAAACACAGAATATCAATCAACAGTATCAATGCTAATAAAAATAGTCATAGACAATTATGTATTATTTAGTAAAATAAAATCTACCCAAGAGACAATTTTACTTTATCATAATCCATCAAATTATTAATGTCGCTGGGAGCAAATCAAGGTTACATGTATACAGATAATAGTATCACCTGGGGAGCATTCGATTTAGCAGATTCTCTGCTTTTCGTTTCTCCTCCACGTACGCCTTTGTTCTCTCCTCGACCAGTCCTTCTAGATTGTTGGCGTATTGCTCCATTCGTCTGATCAGGTTGTCCATTATATTGTTACTCCGACCTCTGAACGCAAATAGAAAAAAAAATAATAAGTCAGTTTTTAGGGAAGTTCCTTGGGAATGAAACAGAGCCAGAGAAAAATATTTTGTTGCGATTACTAATTTAATGTCATTTTACTGTGAAAATTCTACATTTTAAAGTAAAAAACCCGACTCATTTCTACATAATAGTCTTCAAATCGTAGTCTGATAATTATGACATGTAAAAAATATACTAATTATAAGATCGTTTGGTGTTTTTTCAAAATATTTCTACGAGCTGTAAAACTCTTACATATCATAATATATTTTATAAAACTTGTACTACCAGAATCACAAATTAGAAATGCTGGAATATCCTGTAATTTATGTCAAATTATTTTGATTGACTGTATGTTGTTTAACGTCCCATTCAAGTTCAGTCGTGGCCGCAAACTCACGACCTTCCGAAACGTCAAGTTAGACAAAATATGACTGGTACAATTTTGTTTTACACATTAATAAAATTTTGCACCAGTCATATACCCTGGTATCTAGTATGACGGAAGGTAAGTGTTGGTTTGTTCTTACCTGAAGATTGTTTTGAATCTTTTAATTATGACGTCAAATGTAGGTCTATCATCGGGGATTTCGGACCAACATTCTGTCATCAGTATATTTAATTTTTCTGAATATCTGTCGTTTAGCAGTGGTCGGAATGGTGGACTCTCTACATTTGTTATTCTATATACGTAAAGCTGCCAAGATTGGTTAAACTTATACAATGACATATAGTTTGGAATAATGTAAAAATTATGGATTTTCCCCTTTTCACACTTTAATTTGGTTGAGGTTTTTTTCGTAGACACTTTTACTTATTTGTTTGAATGAAAATTGTTTTGCTTTTCAATTTTGTAGTATTTTTAAAAAGTGTGTTATTTGAAGAAAAAAAAGGAAACAGAGCTTTATGTATCATATTTGATTAAAATTATATGATGACGTCACATAAATAAGACATCAGCATGATATTTCGATATGAAAATGAATTTTTAATCCTCTATCATAGATTTCTTTACTCTGCTTAATTGGTGCGGATCATCTTATGAAAAAAAAAGAGTTCCTAACCATCTGCAATCATAGCGTAGCTATCGAATGGGGCAGCTCTGTCCACTATCTCTTGGAGGATAATTCCAAAGCTATATACATCCCCTTTCTGTGTTCCTGGGTTCCAGTATTTCGATCGCAGTATTTCAGGGGCTGTCCACAAAAGTTCTGAAAAAGAGAACCTCAAATGATTGATATTATCTTAAATAATATTTTGGGTTTTTTTGGGGGGGCATTTTCATCAATAATTGATTGTATCAATTCCATTTAATATACATACTATTGTAATTTACTGATGATTTCTTTATTGCCTCTTTTTCATAGAAACACTTCGGACCATAACATCGTAATTTTAACGAGAATCTTTGGTCAACAACACACGCAGCACTGCTTAATCGACCATGAATTTTGATGTCACTTCCATGCAAGTAATTCATTCCCTGAAAGTCAAAAATTGAGAATATGGACCACAGCAACTCGTGTTACAAGCAATGAATAATTATCCTAACGATTTTATAACATTATATATTTTTAATCAGACTTAAAAGTAATACTAGTATCGTAAATATTAAAAGTGATAAGCTCATATTATTAGCAGCAAAAAAGAAGATAAATTTATAAAAATCTCGTACGACATCGGACTTTCTAGTATTTGGATACTTTTAATAAAAAGATTTTTTTCATTAGTGTTTAACGAAAATTAACTACTAACCATTATAATATCTTGTATGAGAGAACATCTGAACGTCCAGTCCAATTCAATGCTTTCGTTTTGCAAAATATCCTGTGTGAAGTGAACAAAAATACATGACCGATCAGCTGATTTACTTGCTATAAAATTACTTAAAAAAATATTCTACACCAGTAAAATTCCTTTAGAGATCCATAATAAGATATAATTAGCATAACAGCGTATAATCTGTAAAGGTTATAAATGTAGAGAAAAGAGCATATCTTTAACAACATTTTCAAATACAATCAGTACACAGTTCCTGAATAATAAATGAACATAATTGACAAAGATAGACAGATTAATTGATTGACTGATTGGTTGATTTAATAAATGATTGTATGTTGTTCTACGTCCCATTCGAGATTTTTTTCACTATTAAAGATAGAGACGAGACGTCACCATATACCAGTGAAGCGCTTCAGATTTAGACTCAAAACCATCGAACATTGAAGAATGTTTATCGTGCCAAAGCTCACGGTGACTAGAGGCCTCGATTTGGGGGTTTGCAACGTACATTCAAAGTGCCGAGCGCTTGGCAAAGAAAGAGTTTCAACCTTGTTTTTAAGACACAAGAAAAGACAAAATACAGAAATACCAGACCACTGTAGAGGGAAGAAAATCAAGGACAGAAAAATAAGATTCGAGAAGACTCTGTTAAATTAAGTTTAGAATAGCACATAAAAAAACCTGGAGACTGCCAGAGCACAGTGTGTCACTAAGAACAGTAATCTCATACTTCCAGAGCACAATGTGTCACTAAGGACAGTAATCACATACTTCCAGAGCACAATGTGTCACTAAGGACAGTAATCTCATACTTCCAGAGCACAATGTGTCACTAAGGACAGTAATCTCATACTTCCAGAGCACAGTGTGTCACTAAGGACAGTAATCACATACTGCCAGAGCTCAGTGTGTCACTAAGGACAGTAATCACATACTTCCAGAGCACAATGTGTCACTAAGGACAGTAATCTCATACTTCCAGAGCACAGTGTGTCACTAAGGACAGTAATCACATACTGCCAGAGCATAATGTGTCATTGACGACAGTAATCTCATACAGCCAGAGCACAGTGTGTCATTGACGACAGTAATCAAATACTGCCAGAGCACAATGTGTCACTGACAACAGTAATCACATACTGATATACAAGGTTAGTGTCAGGGAACGAGGTCTTAATGATCGATGACAGTAATCACATACTTCCAGAGCACAGTGTGTCACTGAAGACAGTTATCACATACTGCCAGAGCACAATATGTCACTGACGACAGTAATCAAATACTACCAGAGCACAATGTGTCACTGAAGACAGTTATCAAATACTGCCACAGCACAATATGTCACTGACGACAGTAATCAAATACTACCAGAGCACAATGTGTCACTGAAGACAGTTATCACATACTGCCAGAGCACAATGTGTCACTGACGACAGTAATCAAATACTACCAGAGCACAATATGTCACTGAAGACAGTTATCACATACTTCCAGAGCACAATATGTCACTGATGACAGTTATCACATACTGCCAGAGCACAATATGTCACTGATGACAGTTATCACATACTGCCAGAGCACAATATGTCACTGACGACAGTAATCTCATACTAGTAAACAAGGCTAGTGTCAGGGCACGAGGTCTCAATGAGGATAGTTTATACAGATACAAAACTATTGTTAAAGCAATGAGTGTCGGTAAGAACAGTAGACACAGATACAAAACAAATGTCAAATAGTAGGCGTTATTGGTAGAAGTTATTGCGTATTTATATACAGAGTAGAAAACTATCAAGGTAGTGAGAATAAAGGAAGCAAGACCATCAGATGTCAACAATTTGCTCTCCTCGATGACAGTGTGCACAGATATAAATGAACTAACAGTGCGATAGTTTAGCATCTACAAATATAACACAATTGTCAAAGAAATTGAAGATATTATTCGCAAAAAAATTGTCCAAGAAATGAAAACATCTGCAGATAGACGACTGTCGAAGAAAAGAAATTCACAGAGGACGGTAAAGCCTCTTTCGTAATGAAAATAGGTTTTTGAAATCAATTTCTTGATTTTTTAAAGAAATCAAATTATATATTTCATAAAATATTGCATTTGTAAATGAATGATATGGAGATAACGATCGGTATTCAATATCAAAGTCCATAGAAAAATACAAAATAATAGGAGCAGAGTAAACGGACCTTCAAAACATCAGAGTGGATCAGGTGCCATGGAGGAGTGAGCATCCCCTGCCGACTGGTCACACCCACCGTGTGCTCCTTGTCATGATCAGGAAATCCGTCATCAATTCAGTGTATGAATAACGGACTAGCAATTAGTATCAAAACATCAGTCGACATTTGACTCAATGATAAATTGTATTTGCTGATAATGTCATTTTGATTTTTATTTAGTTTGTGTGAAGCTTGTTATAAGAACTGTTCAAATGTGTTCTTCATAATAAAACAGAAAAAGAAAAAAAAGTTTAAGCAGTATTTAATTTCCTGAAGAAAATAAACACACACACACACAAATAAAAACAGAAACAAAACAGAGAAACAAAATCAATGTCGATACCTGTAAACTTCCCTTAGGACAATATTCCATCATCACGGATATTTTCCCCACATCGACACAAGCGCCTATGAAAGTGGCAACATTTGTATGTCGTAAAGACAGCAACTAAAATGAAATCGAGAAATTAAACAGTAATGTAATTCTAACAGAAATGTACAGGAATCCGGATAGGACCATGAAGTTGATAGCATCATGGAGGATTGGATCATTTATGCAATGACACAATAATGCGATGACAATGAAGCGCTGGTACAGGGTGCGAAAGCGCGATGACGATAATGTGATTGGGAGAAATTGCGATGACGATGTTGCAAAGACATGATGAAGTGAAAGCGTGATGCTGTAACATTGCGAAAGTGATGACAGGTGCAAAGGTGCAATAACGAAAAAGCGTTATTCACTATCGCTCAATCGTGTTCTTGCACAACCGCATTGTCTCTGCAGAGCATAACTGTCATAGTGCTATAGCATCTTGATCGTTGCGTCATTGTTATCGCGCCGTAGCTTTATGGTTATCATGCCTTTAGATAATAGTCTTAATAATGACAATATGTTTCTTTTTATGGATACAAAAGGAGGTTTATATTAGGCTGTTCAAATTAAGGCTACTATTTTGGTCAAGAAGACATTCAGAAACGAGAAACTAGAGGTACTTCGTGCATTGAGATCACTAGATTACTCCACGCCTCTTTATGATTGTAAAGGCAAAGTCCATGTTTTGCTCTGGGAGACCCGAAATAAGTGTTAAATCCAAAAATTAAATGGTATTATGTAATTAAGAATCTCTGAAAGTTTCATTGAATTTTACTCTGTGGTATCGGAGGAGTCGCAGATAGGAGATGGGCACCCTTTAATATTACAGAAAGAATAGCCGTGTCCATGTTTTACCATGGGAAATATACATTTTAAATGAAGCAGACCTGTTTCAATTCAATGAGGTTGTCTTTATTGAGGTCAATGGAAGAAAAGGCAAATTTCCGTATAGCCACAATAACTCCTCTGCAAAAAGCGACAGTAGTGAAGACCTGTCGACTTGTCTCGTTAGTCCTTGTAGATAGAATTTCCGGCTCGATTGTTGAATCATGCTTAAAATCAGAAAACGATGCAAACATTAGAAAAGCATTTTACTGGATAAACATATAACCAAATTGAATCGGTTTGGAAGGTTGTCAAAATACTTAGATACGTCCTTTCCCTTTTATGAATTAAATTTTTTTTGGTTGCTTGCTTCAGAAAAGTTATGGTTAGCATATGCTTTAAGAGTTTGGATAACCTTTGAAAACAACGGTTTTTCCCTCATATTCCTTCAACAGACTAAAAAAATAGGAATATCTAGTACGAGGGTGTTGTTCTAAAGCTTTAGATGAATTGTACCGTGGAATAAAATTTTCAGTTGAAAAAATGAACAATACAATTAAATAATTTTGGGGGGAAACTTTATAATATATGCATAGTCTGCAAATGCGATTAAGTTAAAATTAGGAATAAACCTACAAAGGTATTAACAGATTTGTAACTTCCAAACGTCATTGTTGATCCTGTGAGTTTTAGCTGAACATGTTCCCAATTTATCTTCCATTTCATTTCGTATAATGCATGGTTCTTTCTGTATATAAAAATAAGTATCAAATTCAATTTTTGGATAAGTCAATATTTTTACAAAATAAAATATGCTTCTTATTTAATATGAATTCTTGATTAGAATAATTTTAATTTCCAGAGTTTTTGTGATATTGATGTTCGAATATCTTTTCTTGTGAAATTGACTTCAGGAACACATATAGCTTATAGCATAACATATACTTGTGAAATGAACAACGTCACCTGTGAAAATGATATCCTATGGCAAACAGAATACAGAATACTATGACGATGAACAAAAATCCTAGTCCTATCATCAGGGTAGTTTTATCCACTGAAATAGATAATTATATCACTGTTAGCATGAATTGATATTTAGATAGATACTGTGGAATGATTCTAATTCGCGGTGTTCAATGTTCGTGGGAAAGCACACTTTGTTCGCTTCGCTGGGATGTAATTTCCTGGGTAACTTGCATATGCAGAAATTAAATGAATACATATATTGAAAAAAAAAATAATTGTTCGATAATTCTAAATCCAGGAATATTTTTTCCACAAGAATATTAATGATTCCAGAGTATGTATCTTTCGCTGAGGCTTAGCAAAATGATAGCTAACATTAAATGCAAATGTATTGCAAAGGAATAGTAATATTTAAACTCAATATAAAATCAAAGAATTAAACGAAAAAATGCAAACATTTTTTTTATCTTCATTAATTTGATATCTGAATAATTCTGCATTGCGTCATTAAGGTATTCTAGATTGCTTTCTCACCGTTTTGTATACAGAGCTCTCCACTAAATCCACACGCAGGTACATCTACAGGAAGTCCTTTAATCCACTTAATAGCAATGCCTGTCACGGGACCGTACTTTAAGGTAGCCCCATAAAACTTCCCTACAACCTGCATCGAAAATTTATCGTATCAATGTCCTAAAAGAATCACATTTAATTTTAATTAATAATTGTTAAAATCTGGGTATATGTACATATACATATTAACCCTTCTTGTAGAATCCCATTCCCCAAGGACGCTGGAAAAGGCAACCCAACGATTCTGGAAAAGGCAATAAACTTTCCTACATTATATGTAACAACTACAAGAATCACCGAATGGTATCGATAATTTAAAATAAATGATTCTAAGTAAAGTACCCCGAAATTGATTGTGAAAGATAATTTAGTTTCTAATTGGCAATACCTTTAAAGTTTTTGGAGATCTAGGGTCTTCCAACAATTAATCGGAATTTCCAAATGCATCGGTACATTGTACCAATTAGGCCTCCTTATAAGCGGAAAGTTTGTATTCATATGAAGCAGAAATTATTTAAAAACTTATAACGAGAAAAAGAAAACACTTGATGTGGTTATCGACTTGATGTTTCGATAAACGTTGGATAAAAGTTACTTGCTGATATATGTCGACTTGATATATACATGTATTTCATATTTGAATATTCAACTATCAATGGACATAATCGTATCTTAAGAACAGAGCAGACCCTTTTGATAGAAGTAATGACGTCTTCACCTGTTTTTTTGCAAACTTCCCTTATTTATGTACAAATATATCTTTCTCAGCTCTACATGGAGTTTAAGTCATACCGGTAGTTGATTCGATACTCAAGAACATGCTACTAAAGTTCATTATATAAATTGTATTTTAGAAGAACTCGGATTTAATTCTACAAGTGGTTATCCAACTCATATTCATAGTTCTCTTTCTAGGAAGAAGTTCTTCAAAATCATGTCAGTTTTGAGCATTTTTATTACAAAGAACCAAAATGAATTTGAACTACCATATCTATATTGGATATTGAAACTTCATTAAAATCCTTATAAACAAAGATACATAGTAGGTTCCAGTAAATGTTCGACCAAGCCTCTTTCTTTATTCTTACTAAGATATTAACATTAGTGAAGGAGAAACTTCAAGAGAACTGCGCAACAATATATTCAAGAAGTGGTGTAAATCAGATGTAGATGCTTAAAATTCCAAGGAGCTTTTGGACAATTTGAAATCACACGATTTCACCAAAATCAACAGCTTAAAAACTTAGGACTTTTCAACTTTGTACACAATTCTACTACGATTATTGCCGAGATCAAAGAAATGCCGCGGACATTATTCTCCAATAAATCACGAACGTCATCAAAAAATTATCAGATTAGAAACACGTATCAGACCTGTGTAGTTGAAATGTAAATTTGACTTAAGAATGAAATACATATTTAGACCACATCGATGTGTTGTCTTTTGCAATTTAAACACTATATATTGCAGAAAGTAGCTGATGAATGTAGGTTTCTGAAGCTAAGTGGGCTATTTCATGGACCTCCCTACGCCATATTTAAACGTGATTTTAGTGATAAAGTGGTAAAATAGGAAACTAATTTTGTTATTGTATATTCCATAAGATTAATCTATATGATCTACAAACAGATCTATATCTAATAAAAGGCTAAATTTAATGCGACGAAAGCACAAGTCGTCTGCATTCTATTCACAGGTAAACAAACAAATTTATATTCTGGTGCTAAATGGAACAGCGCTACTACAGCATGGTGACCTAATTCGTTTCTCTATAGAGAAACGATCATTCGTATTTTACAGCTGTAGTAGAATAGAAATAAGGTCCTTGTTGTCGTGAATGATGCAGAATAACCTCCTCGGTCTCGAAATGTTGTTTGAAATATAAAAGCCTCGGTTAACGCCTCGGCTTTTATTTTTCAAACAACATTTCTCGAAATCGGAGGTTTTACTGCAACATTCACAAAAACGCGGACTTTATTTCTTAACCAATCCCCACAGAAAATTAAAGTCCATGCTTTTTGATATCATTGACAGTTCCTTTCTTAATAACATTGGACCTCCTAAATTCGCTTACCTTGCCATTAGTTATTTGCAAAATTATTTTGTTAAAAATCATTCTGATTGTACACACAAGTATTCTGAAGTTGACATCAAAAAGATGCTTGAGTTTCTTGAATGAAAATACCTGTTGTTTTTGGAGACCATTTTTCCATTAATCTATTGGAATTCCCACGGGTACGAATTTTGCTCTATTATTAGCAGACCTAATTTTGTATTCATATGAAGGAGAATATGAAAACACTTCGACATTTAGATATATCGACGACGTAGTGTCAATAAACAATGGTAATTTCCATTCTGATTTCGATACGATATATCCATGTGAGCATAAGATAAAAGAAACCACAGAATCTGTCACATCTGTTCATAATTAGATATTTTACTTGAAAAAGACGTAAATGGTATTCTAACAACCAAGCTCTATGATAAACATGATGACTTTAACTTTTCGACCGTTCATCTTCACTTACTTACGCAGCAATATACCCTCATCACTTCATCACCTGCATACGGAGTTAATGTATCTCAATCGATTCGATACGCAAGAGTATGCTCTACGTTTGAACAATTTCTAAAACGAGGTAAATTATTGACAAACAAGAATATCAGCAGTCTCATTTAAAGTCATCATTTCGGAACTTCTATGGTCGATACAATGACAATGTCAAATACAATTTATCATTGAGTCAAATGCTGAATGACTTTTTCATACTAATTGTTAGTCCACGGAATTGACGACTAGTTTTTTCATTATTTCCCGATCATGACAAGGAGCACACGGCGGGTGTGACCGGTCAGCAAGGGATACTCACTCCTCCATGGCACTTGATTCAACCTCTGATGTTTGACAATCCGTGTTTCCTTTGCATCTGAGTTGTATTGTTTTATGGACTTTTAAGCTTGAATACTGTTCGTTATCTCCATATGTTTCATTACAAGCAGTTTCTATACCCATGCAAGAAATAGACAAGCAATAAATGAAACAAGGAAATCAACAACCTCGTTGAAAAATAATAATCATTTTGTAAGTCCTATATTGGATACAATGACATTGTCAATAAATACAATTTATCATTAAGTCAAATGCTGACTGGCGCTTTTTCAAAGAAATTGTTAGGCCATTTTTTCTGTCTACACTGAATTGTCTAAGGAATTTTTCCGTTTACCCCATAATGACAAAGTTAGAGCACAAGGCGAGTATGGGGATGTCTACTTCTCAATCGCATTTGATTCAAACTCTGAAAGAAATCTATGTCTCCTCTGCTCCCTATTTATATTAATGCAACTTTTGAACTTTTGAGCTAGATTACTGTTAACATTTTTGAAACCAACTTTTCATTTTCTGGGAGCAAAAATAGTAAAACTAAGATTTTTGTGTTATTAAAATCATTAAAATCTTACACCAAATTGTGGGGGATCGGTGTATCCATTCCGTAGATCAAACACGTCAAAGTCGGCAATTCTATCACCATGCTCATCAATAGCTATCACCTCATCAAGAGCAGGCACTACCAAAACATTAGAAATATATACATTGTATAAAGTAAATAAATTTTGGCAGGTTTTTTTTTTTAATCAAATTGACAATTGACGTAGCTCCGTACAAATATAATCATGCCTGACAATTGCAGCGCAAGTCATACATACAGTAAACAAATATTTTCTTATATTGAATGCCTCACGTATGAAATTACAAATATTCTTTGAAGATATACATGTGTTATTAAAAAGTGTGCAAAATTCACTTATTAGTTGTTTATAAAGAGGACATACAAATAAAAAATGATGTTCATCTTAAGAAAACAAAAAGAAAAAGGAAAGCAAAGAAACGAGGACTTTAAGTACTTAGGTTGTAAAGAATTAGCTGTCAAACCAACTGGATAGCACGATAACCCAAAGTTGTTGAAAAATTCTCCATGATGATGGAAAAAAAATGTCATAAAAACTATCATACATACCGAATACATCTGATGCATTTAACAAGAATTTTTCTATAAGTTTTTGAAAAGGATAGTGTTTTTCTCACCTTTATAGGTTTGATTCCAGAGTTTCCTGGCCAGGGCATAACCATCAGTCAGATCTCCCCTTTCCTGGATGGTTCTGTTGAATGCAATGGCCAGGTAAATAACGCAGGCATAAAACGCTCTGATGAAATAGTTATTCTGTAAATAAGAATTCGTTAATATTAATGTGTCAAAAACAATTGAAAAGCATACTCAAAAAATCATGAAAATGATTAGTCATGTGTATTGCAAGTAAACGAAAGCGACTTTTATTTCACATTCAAAATTTTACAATTGTATCTTTAAAGTGATAAAAGTTTTAATACCAGTAGATAAATTTTAAATACCATAGAATATTTAACTTGTACTTGATATTTGTATCTTTTCTACCCAAAATAAGCCAAAAAAATACATCCTCAAACACTAATGTTTGTGACGACCTCTCGAAATATTACTTTATCAAGTATATAAAATATGGACGTGACGTACAGCCTCGTTTTGATCCAAAATGTAGCCATAATCCTTGAAAGCCCGGGCTTGCACCTCTGTCTTGAAAGTTTCGTACTTCACGCCTCCCTGTCGCATTAAGGAGAGAATGAGGACAGATTCGTATGCCACCCTCACGTACTCGTTCTTGTAGGAATCATCTGCGATACAAAACTTATTGTCAGAGTCAATAATATAAAAAAACAATTGCTTACTTTAAAGAAAACATAATTAATAAAAAAATCATTTTTATCCTAGAAGTTGAAAAACGACGTTTTCCCACAAAAATGTGGTTTTAAAGGTTTGTATTCATCTAAGGGGAAAATTAGAGAGAAATTTTTTTTTAAAAATTTAAAATACTAAAAATAACCGACGGTTCCTTAGAAAAGTAGACAAATCATCTCTGATATAAGATATTATCAACGTGATAAATGGTGCTCTATAGATTTTTAGTAGATTATAATTTGTTTTGTCCAGGAAGCTAAGAAATTAAAATGCTTTAATTTTTTTCACAGGACTAGTTCTCTTCTACAAGGGTTATGTCCCATTTAATATTTCATTCAAACTTAATTTACAAAGTTTTTAAACAAAATTATTGTTTATTTAGAAAGTATAGAAGAATATGACATACTATATGACTGATCGCTGAACCTAGTGTAGAATCCCCAGTGAGTGCTTGGAAAAAGTTCAATAGTGATGAACACATAGTCTCCATGTACCATATTCTGTCTGTAGGCGTGGTACATTACGTCTCTGAACTGCCGAGCTTTTGCCAGTATTATAAAAACTGAAGGAAAATTCTTAAAATTTAATTTACTGTATATATATCAAATAAATATTTCTGCATTCTTTGTCCAGTTTTATATACATGTACCACATCAATTAATTATCTACTATTCGTTTATTTGATTCACAAATCATGTCTAAGACTGTGATTTAAATGATTCACTATTTTAATAGTGCTAAGGTTCTGTTCAACGCCTGAGGGATGCATCCATAACAAAAATATCTGTGGAGAAGAAAAGGTTCGAGAACCACGAATCTGGGAACTACTGAGTATTAGAAACTTCATCTAAAAATGGCATCATATGTCAAGACATGAATTGCAGACTCAAAACATATTTATGAATGTAATTTAAAACGTTCATTTGATTGGGTTTTAAAATACTTTTAAATACTAAAATAAATAGTAACTAGGGCTAATTGTAACGGGAACCGTTACAGATGTTCCCCAAACGCTCCCCAACTCCCTTTTGGTGCCTTATTCCCTGTAAGCTTCATTAAATAAGACGAACTCTATGCCTTTTATCTATTATAACAATGTTTTCCCAGAAGTATATTCAGTATATTCAAATTTATGCATTGCATGATGCGCATTTGAATGCATGTGCGTAATGACCATATCATCTTTTCTACACTATTTATATACTAGAAATTACAGCGTTTTATCCAAAAGTATTAAAAAATACGTTTTAATCTAGTATATTTGTAATTTTACTCATTTCACGTGCACGCACGTGCATGCATGTGCATGTCGACTGTATCTTCTTGTAGGAGTCTGTTATGTTTGTCTATGTTCTAAATCCCATCCTATTTGGTTGAAAAACGAGGAAGTTATAGCCATTTTAAGTTTAAGCCAATCAGATTGCAGCGCACGTGTATGCGCATGTTTTCACGACAACTGTTATATATCATATTGAAGGACATCCTAATGCATGATTATGTTTAAAATTTTAAAGCATTTCGTCAAAAAGTAAAAAAAAGATATTGCGATTTTTGTTTCAGCGAATCACAGCAAAGCACACGTGCATGCACGTGTATGCATGTGCATGACGACCATACCTCCTTGTCGCTGTCCATTATGTTTGTCTATGTTCTAAATCCCATACTGTTTCGTTGAAAAACAAGAGAGTTATAGCCATTTAAAGTTTAAGCCAATCAGATTGCAGCGCACGTGCATGCGCGTGTTTACATGACAATTGTTATATATCATATTGTAGTACATCCTAAAGTATGCCTATATTTTAAATTTCATAGCATTTCGTCAAGAAACAGAAAAGATATTGAGATTTTTGTTGCAGCGAATCAGAGCGAAGCGCACGTGCATGCGCGTGAGTTCGTGCTAATTTGAAAGTGTCACATTATCTACACTATTAATATATCCTTATTAAATGAGTTTTAAAATATTTCATCAAAAAATGTTAAAGCTATGGCTATATAAAGTATATCCGTCATTTCACTCATTTCACGCGCCCGCACGTGCATGCGTATGCGCGCAAAATAACCTTCGTGTTGCACACCTACACTACACACCTATTAACCCTAAAAAGGTTTTAGCTCAGTTGGGTGAACAGTTTCTGAGAACACTCGCGGACAAAAAAAGTACCGGAGAACAAAGAAGAAAAAAAAGAATAATAATAATAACTAGATACGATCTCGTTGCGAGCAACGAGAGGTCTTCCGTCCGATTCAGATAAAAAAAACTTGTAAAATCGAACAAAAAAGTGATTCAAACTTTTGATCACAAGAAGGAGTGAATCCAGGTCGCCAACGTGAATGCGCCTTTTGTTTCTCTTTTCTCCCCAACGCGCGAACCATTTAGCTATTGGGAATACTGCTTTAAGCGTAAATATTCGCACTTTTTCTTTGTACTGATCTATTAAAGAGGTGCAATAGCTTCAATGAAATTAATTAAATAAAACATTCTTATCACCTTTATTTTATTTCGGCGTTAGGAAAGTATATTTAACACATTGTACACATTACATATCGTATCTAGCCCAGTAACACTAAAGCAGTGAAACGTAAATTAAGTTTTTTAAGATTGACACTGAATTGCAACGTACTACTACGTGAGAGTCCAAGTAGCTTTTTGCATTTCATGTATCCTTATGTCAGAATGGTTTAATCAAACGCTCAGCTGCTTCCATAAGCCCCTACTTGCGAAATGTCGGAGTTGACAGAGACAGTCGCCATCTTGGGCCCGCTTCAGATTTTCAAATATTAATATCTAGAGTTCAGATTAACCAATATTAAAACAACTTATATAGTAAGCATCAATAGAAGTGTCTCTATTAATATTCCAAAAATAAATGAAAAATATTGAAAAACAAAGAAAGTTGAAAATTTGGACTTTTTGAATTGGCTTCCGGTAGCGACAGGAAGTACTGACGACGAACGAAAAGTTGCGTCCTGGAAAGTATTGATCATCATCTATAAACTCTGAAAGTTTCACATTGATATCTTTTACCGTTTTTGAGTTTAATCGTGGACAAAAAGTCATTTTAAAATCAGGAAAATGGTCCAAAACTTGGCACCAGAGAGGAATTTCCAAAAACTGTCTTGGAACTTTCAAGAGTAACTTACAACACATCTTTCCTGAAAATTTCATGTAATTCTATCCAGTAGTTGTCGAGAAATCGTGTCAGAAAAATAATAATAATAATAATAATAAGAAACAGAGCAATAACTATAAGGTCTTCCGTGAAGACGGAAGACCTTAATAAGAAACAATAGAATCACTATAAGGTCTTCCGTGAAGACGGAAGACCTTAATAATAATAGGGAAAAAGAAACCGAAGAATAACAAGAAGGTCTTCCGTTGGAGACGGAAGACCTTAACTAGATGAAACTCGTTGCGAGCAACGAGAGGTCTTCCGTCCGATTCCGGAAAGAAAACGTAAAATCGATTTGAAAAGTAAAAAAAAAAGATTTGCACACAAGGGGGATTGAACCAAAGTCGCCACATGAAATTCCAACGCACTAAATATTACGCTATCGGGAGCTCTACTCTAAATCTACTTGTATATATCAATGATACAGTGCTTCTCTCTTAAAATTATGAAAGGCGGGTCACTATTCAAATTGTAGCGCCAAACACCATGAGTTAATCTTCGCCCCTTTTCTTTGGAATGTTCTATTAAATAGGAGTGATAGCTTTAGTGAAATTAAAAGAAAAGAACGTTCTTATAGCCTAAGATTCGAAGTTTAGAAAGTATGTTTAACACATTTTACAAATTCCATATTGTACATATGCATGTAACACTAAAGCGGTGAAACGGTTATGAATTTTTTTCAATTTCCTGTTTATCCTCAAAGTGAACTATCCCGAATAGTTAATCGAAAAAGGTTGAAAAGTTTCGCCGGAAAACATGGCTCGCCCTACGACTGTCAGGAATCCGATATCGTTTATGCTCAATAACTTGAATCAGGTCTTTGAGACAAGAATGCTAAAACAAACTCCATGAAGCGATCTTTAAAAAAACGTTTTCTTATTTTTGTCTAATTTATTAATTTAATATGACACAAGTGTGCATAGGAAAAACAGTGGTTTATATTTATATTGACAAAATTAATTGATATTCTTTTTTGAGAAAGCATTACTTATAAGTATGATTTAAGATCTGTTTTTCGGCGATGCACAAGAGATATAAGGTATCGAATTTCATTTGCACATTTAGTCTTTTCTTTTTCTAGTTTGAAAACCAGCCAAAACCAATTATAGAAGACGTTAGTTTGACACAGAACTGCAACATAAATACGACGTGACAATCCAAGTATTCCTTTGCCTTTCATTTATTCTTATGTTACTTTCGTTCAAACAAACGCTCGGCTGCCTCCGTAAACACCTATTGCGAAATGTCGGCGTTGACAGAGACAGCCGCCATTTTGGACCCCCTTCAGATTTTTGAATGCTAATATCTAGAGTTTAGACTTATCACCATTCAAACAAATTATATAGTAAGCATTATTAGAAGGGTTTCTATAAACAAGCCGAAAATAAATGAAAAATACTGAAAAACAAAAAAGTTAGAAAATATGATTTTTTTTAATTTGCATCTCGTAACGACCGGAAGTACTGACGACGCACGAAAAGGTGATTCTGCAAACCACAAAGTAATGATCTATCATCTCCAAGAAGTCTCCAGTTCATATCCTAAACCGTTTTCGATAAAAAGGGGCGACAAAATTGCATTTTAAAATCAGGAAATTGTCCATAACTTGGCACCAGAAGCGAATTTTCCAAATTTTGCATCGGAAGTAACAACTTCATATTATAACTCATATTTTGTGAAAGTTTCATGAAAAACCGCTGAATAGTTTTCGAGAAATCGCCTGCACAAAATTTTGTCAAAAAAAGAATAAGAATAATAAGAAACAATACAATCACTATAAGGTCTTCCGTGAAGACGGAAGACCTTAATAATAATAATAAGAAACCGAGTAAAAACAATATGTTCCCAAACTCCGTTTGGGGAACATAATTAAATGTGATAGTTTTATCTTACTACCAGAGTACATAGTCGATAACTTCATGTACACAAATCTACAAAATTAATGTTTCTCCTATTGGATGATTTCCCTGTACACAATTTTAATGCCTGATCAATAAATTTACATTTCAATTATTATTTCTATGTAACTTATCAGATTGACAGTTTATATATTAATTTCTATGTTATTGATCAATTTGTATCTGTTACGAACGTACTATTCTAATACCACAAACATGGAATAATATGTTGTAAATGTCGAGGATAAAGGAAATGACATCATGCAGTGTATATTCGTCTTCAAACAATGCAAGTAATGTTAGGTTCATTATATGTTTATCATGCTTCAGCTTATGTTTATCATGCTTCAGCATTCTATGGTATTTAAGACTGTGTTATTATATATTTATATATAAGAAAATTATATAATTATATTCAATATTAAAATTAATTATTTGTCGAGTTAAGTTGTTATTTTAAGTTATAAAAAGTTGTTATAAAAATAATGAGGAAAACGGCACATTGATAAAGCTGAAAAAGAATTAATAAACTTATCAATAACACACCTCTAGCATACTTTGAGGCCTCAGACAGGATACCAGAGAAGTTCTCGGTGGATTCTGGGAAGGGTTTCTCGTATGGCCTTCTGAGTGTGTCGTCTTTCCGGAAGTCCAGAGCCAGGTTCTCTCCTACTCGCCGGAAGAAAACATCGTCTTCGTCATATAAGATGGCGGTGTGCTTCCATCCGTAATGGAGCAAAATTTCTTTCATGGAAACTAAGAGACAAATGCTGTTTTAAATGTACTGAAATAAGGACCTGAAGTCTAATATCGAAGGTAGCTCCACAGGTTTCTACATAAAACAGTGGAAAACAGGTTACTGTTCATGGACTGCCAAAACTTGTTTTAATTTTCAGATGTATATTTCTTGTTTCCTAACGTATTTGAAATAAATGAAACCAATCCAGAACAGTAGGAGGAGTAAAGTATTCTGCTGAATGTGTTTTGTTATCGCTAGCTGCAGAACAGTAGCTCATTGCATGAGACAATTTGGACAGATCTCTGCTTTAATTAGCTGTCCAAATTTTCTCAAGCAGAGAGCTACAGTTCTGCAGCTAAGATATGGCAAGTTGTTTGTCATGGTTATTTTAAACAAAAAACACTATAGAAAAAGCGTTTTAAGATTCTACATTGTACCATTATCACCTGGTTTATATCTCTTAAGTGATTCAATACACAAGAACGTATTAAAAGTATGAACAATTTCTAAAACAAATTATGGACAAACAAGTTGATGAAACAAAAATATCAAGTCCTGTTTAAAAACATAATTTCTTAAGTTTACGGATGTCGATACTATTACCTCGTCGGCAAATGCAGTCTATCAGTAAGTCATACACTAACAGACGGTTTTAATACCAATTCTTTGCCCATTATTTTAGACACGTCAGTGAATTGTCGACTGATTTTTCCGTCATTTTCCGATCAAGACTAAGAGTATGCGGCGGGTTTGACTGGTCGGCAGGGGATGCTCACTCCTCTATGGCACATGATTCCATTTCTGATGTTTATAGGTCCTTGTTTGCTCTGTTCCTGATATGTAATGTTTGTATTGACTTATGAGCTTGAATAATGTTCTTGATCTTCATCAAGCAGTAAAGTCACATTTATGCATAAATTTTTACCCAAGCAATCTGCTTGATTATCATCCGAAAATCAAGATTAGAATTTATTCTTTATATTTACATTTTTACATTTATAAGCAACATACAGGAAGAAGGTATAGCTCTCTCACGCGACGAAGATGATATATGCGATAACGAAATGTATTCAAGCTCAAAAGTCCACTATACTATACAAATTTTGGAGCAGAACAAATACGGAGCTCTAAAACGTAAAAGATTGGATCGGGTGCTATGGAGGAGTGAGTATATCCTACCGACCAGTCACATTCCGCCGTGTTATGATGGGTAAATACGGGAAAATCAATCGACAACTCTGCGTAAAAAATGGATTTTAATAACTTTGTTTTGATTTTAGTTTTCTGTTATTCTTTTGGTCACACTATTTACGATGATAAATAATTTGGATTTTAACATGCAAGCTGCTGCATAAGCAATAAGAATAGCTTAAAACTTACCAGACATTTTATCAATGGAGTATGACAAAATGGTTGTGGTTTCATATCCCAAGTTTTTTTGGGGGGACCTCTCCACTAAATCTCCTACCCCCGTGACAAGAGGAACTCTCAGGTATTCCGCCAGATGCCCTCCCGAGATCACACCTTGAGAGCACGCTGGACCGACAAACACACGAACTTTCTTAAAATGGTAGAGATCAGATATTTTCCCTACACCTTCCGTCCAAACACCATTGCAGTCGGTAGAATAATTAGACAAAATTGTTTTGAAATTTACATTATATATTTCCTTAGCATCCCGCACACCCATGTCTATTGCAGGCGCAATGCGAGGCATATCAAACGGAAGGGTATTTTCAGTCATTAATAGAACGCCGATATCTTTTTGAAAACTTAATGAGGATACAATCACTGCGGCAAAAATGTAATAAAAACATGGTCTGTAATTAATCATCATATTTTTGATGATATCCCGGGTGAAGTCTGTCTCAGCGATGTCTCTCTTTTCATATAGTCCTTACGTATATGATTTACGTATAATATTGAAGATGAAAACTAGAAAAACATCTGATCACAGTTCGCTTCATAACGTAATAATGTAATGAAGGAATTGATGCTTAACAATAAAACTGTGAAATACAGGCGATTATTGTTACTATCTTAATTGATATAACCGTACATATTTCTGGATTTTCATTTCAGGTTGGGTCAATGAAATCAATCATCGACACATGTATGAAACTGAAGAGAATGGAAGAGAGAAAATCCCCTACGAAATGACGAAATACATGTATTTTACAATTCTGCTGAAGAGATGCTTTTCATAACAGAAAGTATAGATTTGGAAGCTCTTTTTCTCTAGAAAAATATTAATGTAATGTTCACCTCAAAGGTTGGGGACAAGTGAAATATCTTTTTATATATATGGAAATTTTCTTGTTTGATTTTTATTTTGAAAAAATGTCTTTAATCTACGGAAGCCCGCAGATTTAATCAGCCAAATTCGGACTCTAATAAAGGAATGAATGCAGTCGAGAAACAAGTTTCAATGTACGTAAACATAAGTGTTTTATTTCGCATTAGTTAATTCATCATAGACCTTTTGCGTGCATGGACTGCTTTGATGGTTACAAAGACGTTGAGGCCAATAAGAGTTTTTGTATTCCATTTGAGATAAGCAGAATGAAAATTAAAGAAACACTTATACACACATGCCCTGAATAATTTATTATTATTGCATTTACTGAAAATATTTTACAACATCCATGCAATTAATTTCCTTATGAATATAATTACCTGGCAGCTTATATTGAACATATATGCCTCGGCTTTTTAAAACGTGTTCTGTATCTGGTTTATACATATTGGCTGATCTAAATATTTAGCAAAAAGTTTTTTTAAAAAACATATAAGAACTAGATACACAAAGGCCAGTATACAGCTTTGGTATGGTTTAATAAAACTGATCAAATCTAAAATACGAGGGTCGTTCAAAAATTAAGATGCACTTGACTAAAAAGGCAAGATTTACATCTGAACTCTTCAAAAATTGGGTTTCGGAAAAACCATGATACCAGTAACATCGTGCTTGCCTTTCAGTTTTTGGAATGATATAATCACGATCGCATGTCTTTTATCTTGCATAAATGTAAATTGCTTTGCAAAGATAAAAAAACATGTCCGTATTCGAGGGATAATTGTTGATTGAACGCATGATCTGTGAACAATATCATCTGTTTCTTCTCTCTGCTCTTTTCTGCATTGCAGTACTGTTGGTTTCTTTTTAGTTTGGTGCCATCGTCCTAAATTTAACGAATTACAAACAGTATGTATCCCTTGAGCTCCACGGTTGACGTTTTCATGGAGTTAAACTGGAAGCTCCACGTGTCCCACAGTAACGGCGCTGATGAGGTCTTCTGAGTCTTCGTGAAATGTCTTGGGAGTATCTGGGGCCGGTAAGTCTACCTGTCCTATAGTAACTGCACTAACTAGGTCATCATCATCATCTTCAAGACTTATCGTATCGTTAATGGAGTTTTCATCAAAAGTGGGGTTCTCTATACATGTAAAAGCAAAATAAAATGAAAGTATCATTTCCTTGCAATTGCTGGAAGGAGTGAGACTATCCGATATATGGAATTTAGATAATAACTTCATAAAAGTTAGGTTTCATTTCCTCACTTACTTTCTACATAGGATTCATGTTTATGTCTTCTTTGTACAAAAAATATTATCATTCCAAACGTTGCTGATCCCAGGATGACACCAAATACAACAATGGCTGGCAAGTATTCTTTCGGCAGTGGCACAGGTGACTTAGATATAATGGTCGATGCATTTGAAGCCATGGCGGTCGAAGTAAGTTGTGATTTGGAAAATCTTTCATCTAAGAACCAACTACTTGTGTTAATATTTCTGAAGTATAAGAGAGAGAGAGAGAGAGAGAGAGAGAGAGAGAGTTTGCTCAGACATTTAGATCATGGTACTCGGTCTTTTTGATTTCTTTTAAAACGACATTCTAAAAATTCACAAGTATGATAATTTTTGTTATTCCATTTTCTAACACAATACAAAAAAAGTAATGTATTACTGTTAGATTTTTTGCAATAAAATTGTACTAAAACTCTTTTCATCATCACAATATCAAGAGTTTCCGATTTTTACTGAGGATTGAACTTTCCTTATCATTTATGATTGCATATTTTATGTGATACAATAAGGAAATAATCCAAAATATCAGTTTTAACATTAATGGTTTATGACTATTAGTTTTCTAAGGTAAATTACTTGGTAAAGATTGCTTTCTGGATTAATGTGTGATATGAACCGTGATGAAAGGCGCAAATAAATTAAAATTTGTTTAAAAACATGAAGAGATATTTCTCAAGTTGTCAACAAAAAATGACAGATGTTCAGTTTTCAAGTTAAAATCAACTCCGTCGCATTGCAGTATTCAGTTTTTCTAGTCTTAAAAAGTATTTGATATCTATAATCTTTGATATATTTACCTTTAAATTGTATTTCTCACATTATTAAAAAAAAATTAGTAGATGTAACATTGATCAATTGACAAGATCGATTTTTTTTAACCGAAATATTTCTCATAACATTGATTGAAAATTGTTTTAAATTCATATCATATTTGTCATCTCTTAATTTTCCTTCAAGACAATATTTAAACAAAAAGTAAAAAAATAAGTGTCTTTAATGTATTTGTGGTATTTGCCTTGTCCAAATACTGTAAAATCACATATTTTCGAGTGGCCAGATTTTCGTGATTTGATGAAAATATGTTTCATGGGGATTTGATTTCGTGGTTGAAAATTTATTCAGTAGTAATATATGTGAAAAATAGCTTTTCGTGGTAGACCTCGAAAATCACGAAATGTAATCCCCCACGAAACTAGTGATTTCACAGTATTTGACGTGTTCGTTTTAAAATAAGATACCAGTGACCCTTTTCACAAAAAAATCTTACGACTAAGACAAAAACCTCCATTCTTCAAGGGGTATCCACATTGTAGTAGATCACAAAACTCTTACTTTTCAGTTACTTTAGAAAACATTGTAAATAACATCAAAGTAGAAAAAAAATTAGTATCTCTATTTAAAAAATCTTAAAGAATTGTGAATTTTTTTTTTTTTTGTTGGAAGAGTTTTTGTGAAAAGGGCCAAAGGGTTTTAGAACACCCGGGTAAAGAGTTCATAGAAATTTGAATTCTTGTTACTGTTTTGCGTTAATTGGTATTTCCTTATACATGTACCTTGTTTCTCATGAAGGTGAACAACTTGAATTTCTTTTGTGTAAAGTAAACTAATCAGCTTTCCATCGAAGCATTGCTAAAAAACATTTCATTATCTATGACTTTTCTACTCAGTTTTTATCCTTGAAAAGAGAAATCTTGTTCGAAGTTTTAACACTGAAATAATATACAAGTTACTCACTACAGAAAAAAAAACGCAACAATGTAATCCTTCCCACTACATGTATGAAAATATAATTTTATTCTATTTATAGGACTCCAATGTCTTTGTATGGCTTTCAAAGAAAATCTTTTTTTTAAAAACCATTACAGATGGATTTAACTTTGACTGTTAAGTAATGGAATAAGCTGGAATAACTTTTCACAACAGAAGCTGTAGACTATCCCGATTCATTTATTTGTCAACTTAGTCATAATAATACTTTTCAAAATATATAAAACCTCCATTGGTTTGAGTGATTTTTTTTTCTGTTGCTTTATGTACGTGGAGCATTATAAAGTCTGACATTGTATTTTAATAAACGTTAGAATTACTGGTTGAAGGTAACTAGAATGTTACACAATTTACATAATAAAAGTCAGTAACATATCAACTAATTAATCTTTCGCTATAGAATAAACAAAGTAGTCACTTAATTCTTTCATTTACAAAACCAAATATGAATGTTTTGAATTTGAATTTTTCGAGGATTTAATTCAACGACATTTCAGTTATCAAACACATTTCAGAGAAGTTTTTTTTGCAATAATTATAATTTAATATAACCATTATTAGTGACAAGGAAGGTTCATACATGAAAACTAGATATATGTGGGTTTTTGCGAGAAGAAGGTTAGATATAATGAATTCGAAATATTTAATTATTATATAATAGCGTAACGCATTTGCAGATCTGATCTTTATTGAATTTTTAACTTTCCTATACAAATTTTGAAGTTTTGTTGAGTATATTTATATCATTTTCAAGAGTTACTGTTCTTTGTTCAGGAATGAAAGCTTTTAAGTTTTCCAGGAAATAACATACTAGTACCTGATTTAAACGTAGATTCTGAGCATGCGTTTGATCCACTTCCGCTAACGTTAAGCGTTGGTAAACTCCAGACATAACCTCTCGCCACACATCGGCTACCATCGTTATATTTACACGACACACAAAACATCGCCTTCTGTTTATTGAGATAAAAATGTATAAAGATGAATACAATGGAAAACTGAAGAAAAAATCATAAAAAGCATGCAATAATCTTTTCATAATAATATGGGAGATTCTTTTTGTACAGAAACTGTACAGAAAATTGCAAGAACTGGAAAACAATGAACCTGTAGTGTATTTATTATATAATAAGCAAAATAATGTACCATAATAATTCTTATATTTTTTATGCATTGTACAATTCAAAGTATTTTTTTTTCTTTATAAGCAGGAATTATTTTTACTACCTTTTTGTCTGTAATTCCGGTATTCTGCCATTTGTCCTTGTTAAGTTTGATCAGAAATGTGGTGGACTTTACTGGATTTGAACCAGTAGAAAGATACCCGTAAAACCCCGTCAGCGAGGCAGCGGAGACTAAAGGTAACGGATGACAGTTACATGTAAACCAGTGTAGAACATTTCGATATCAAACATTTCAATATCAATTCAAAACGAACATTTAAAAAAAAAATCATTTTACCAATTCAATACGTTTTTAAATATATTTTCTGTATAATTTTATAAAATTCAACTAAAAGGATATAGTTAACATAACCTCATGATAAAAAATATGTAATATTTATTTTCACTTTATCCAGATTTTTACTAAAGGTTGATAACTTTAAAGTTAAAATGATAAGTTATAATAAGAAATATATTTGATATATGTGTGACAAATATATATTTTACTGTTATAACGATTTGTATGATTCGTATTTCGATTTGGAATGTTTTTTGGAATGTTAAATAAAAGATATAAACTTACCATCATTTGGTCCTCTCCAACAAAACTGGACGCACCTTCCCTCTGAACATTCACTACACCTGACATGGTTACATCGTGGTGGGCCTGGGTTTTCCTCCGAAATGGTTAGACTCTCAAATATCTCTAAATACAATGGAGTACATTGTTTCTCGCTATTGATATCTTAGAACTGTCATTCAATTAAGCTGAAAACATCTGTATTTCTATATAAAGAGAGCATTAAAAATTGTCTTAATTCAGGCCAGAGAAACTAGAGATAAACAAAAAGTAAACGAAATATATTTCTGTGTTATGATCAGTGCATTAAGTATTGTAGATTTGTTAAGAAAATGGGTTTAGAATATGTCTAAATAGGAAAATAGATTAAAAGTATACAATGATTAAGTTTGTTGGTGGACTTCATTTTAGTTCATGTATTATAATATTTACAAAACAATATACTTTGATCTTTTTAAAAATTTTACTTTAGTAAATACCGGTATATTAACAAGATGATGTTAGAGGTTGTTGCAGATTTTTGAAGGGAAAAAACTTGTTAAAAGGCAATAATTTTAACAGTTTCTTAACTAGTGATCTTGAAATAGATAATTTAGACAAAGTTTATTGTATACCCCTGGACCATTAACAGTTCTTCTATTAATTTCACAGAAGCATACAATGTTGATCACTTGCAAAGTAATGGATCAATTTTGTACCCTTTTCCTGCTATTTAACTTAAACTGGACTGATAAATGACCTTGAATAACGTCAATTTTTACACGTTCCCGCTGTTTACCCCGAACTTGGCTAAATAAACCGCGAATCCGAACCAAATTCATATCACCTGTTAGACAGTACTTTGTTTCTCCATAACAAGACATGGCAAGAACTATACATTTTTTTTATTGTAACCTTGAATTGTCCATATACCTTGTTTAAAGAGCAAGACACCCCTTACGTGTTGAAAGTATGGACATACTAGTATATATGTGGCCTGATAAGACGTCAGCCGTGCATGAGGATAAGTTGAACACAAGAAAAGAAAGACTAATATGCGTGCTTGGTAAACAAAACGATGGATGTTAGAATACAAAGCAGGGAAACAATAGAAATTGCGGTTCCTGTTGGTATCTAGATACTTTGAATGCCACATTTTACAGTTGATGTATACTCACCCTCTGAAGATTTGGCTTCCTTACTGATACACAAGCTCTGCTAACAAATGAACCAAATTCAAATACGCTTCAGCTGATAAATGGAATCATGTCATACAACAAACATTGCTGATTGTTTTAGGTCAATACATAATTTAGCAAACATTAACGCAAAAAAGGACAAGATAGGGTAAGACGCCTTTTTGGCCCCTGGTTTGGAGTGTCTTTCAGAATGATGCAACAGTTTATTAACTGAAAACTACTTATCACCCCTGCCACAAAATGAGTATTGGTTCTAAGTTATGGGATACATAAAGGTAGCAAGAATGTAAGAAAATAAGTAAATTTTCTCATTTTTATTCAAATTTTAATCAATTTTACAGCACATTTTATTTCAGAAAACATAGAGCACAGGTAAGTCTATCTACCAAATTTATATATTTCATATACTAGAATCAGATGCATCTTGTGTGTAAAAATCTCAGATAGGCAAGCTTGTGTTCTATATTTTCCAAAGTGAAAAGTATCTCAAATTTGACAAAATTCCACCAGAATTGAGAAAATTTGGGAAAACTTCAACCTTTTGCACCCTCTTATGACCTCCGTGTATGCTTTGAATCAAAATTAGTGCTGGTTTTAAAACAGGCATCAATTTCAGTTCTTAACCAAAATTATCATAGTTTTAGCTGTGTTCTGATTTTTATTTCAAATAAGTAGCCAGATTCAGCGGTTACCAAACCTTGTCCTTTATATCAGAGTGTACAACCTGTGTAATATCTAACATATCCTTTAATAGCAGGATGTACAAGTTCTTAAATATCTAACATACCTTGTTTTGGCAGGATGTAAAACTCATGTGACAAATGTAATTAATTTTCGACGCCTTTTAACAATCTTATAAGTTTTGATTTTGTTTATGAGACTGTTAAAAAAGAGTATTACAATACTTTTTTTTTATTAAAAAATAGAACTGTACTGGCCTAAACATACCTTGCTCTGTCAGGGTGTACATATACCTTGTTATATTGTCAAGGTGTACTTGTCTAGCATATTTGTTATGTCAGGGTGTACATGTCTAGCATACTTTGTTATGTCAGGGTGTACATATCTAACATACTTTGTTTTGTCAGGGTGTACATGTCTAACATACTTTGTTATGGCAGTGTGTACATGTCTAGCATACTTTGTTATGTCAGGTTGTACATATCTAACATACTTTGTTTTGTCAGGGTGTACATGTCTAACATACTTTGTTTTGTCAGGGTGTACATGTCTAACATACTTTGTTATGGCAGTGTGTACATGTCTGGCATACTTCGTTTAAATCAATGTGAACATGTCTAATATACGTTCTTATGTTAGGGTGTACATGTCAAACATACATGTTATGTGAAGGTTTATATATCTAACATACCTTGTTCTGTCAGTGTGAACCTGTCTAACATACCTTGTTATATCAAAGTGTACATGTCTTACATTCCTTACGTCAGGGTGTACATGTCTAATATTTTGTTATGTCCGGGTGTACAACCTCTTTTAAGGTTCCAACTTACCGTATTTTGGCAGTACCCACTGGTCGTACATGATGATGACAATTTAGAAATTATCCACGAGTAGCAGAAAAATGATAATGAAATTTTATCCATCACTACAACTATAACCGCAGAGATGAGCTGGCTTAATTCAGTTATCAAAAATTTTATCGCTCAAGTTCATTTAGTATTTGGACCTATTTGAAGTGGGGTATTTGATAATGAAATCACGTTTGCCATTCATAAACGTAAAGAAAAAAACCACCTGTCTTTATCACTAAAGGTATATCCCACTTCACGCAACTATGGTTTAAAATAGTAAATAGTAATAGTAGTAAATGTATCTCCATTTGTACAGTTTAATAGAATATATAATGATATCCTTTTTTAGGATGATAAGGATAAAACATAATATTCATAATATTGTGGGTATCACAGAAAAAATACTTTTGAAATATTTAAAAAGTTTTTTCCTTCCAAAATTCTGAAAGAACCTTGCAGCATACAAGCATCTGTTTTTAAAGATTTTATTCGTAAGGAATATTAACAACAAAACTAATGAACGCATGTGTTTAAAGTCACCACAGTGTTCAAGTTAAATGATATTTGAAAATAGTCCTAATAATGTTCTTTTGAAATAAAAAATAAGTCGTTCAGTTTCTTGTATTTAACATTTTAAGCCTCCACTTTCCCTATCTACACATCAAACTTCGACAAACTCACATGTGTGTTGAAAAAAGTTTAGTGATCAAAATATAATAATATTCTGATAAAATCAAATCTAGACTTGTACAAACTTTTTAAAATAGTTATAGTATAAGAAAATGGATTTCAAAATGTTTATATGCAAAGTACAGTTTCCTTATACACAAATGGATCAAACATTGTAAAATTGTGAATATAGTTCCATTATATCAGAGTGGATGCAACAATGTAAATTTGCAAATGAAGTTACAGTATTATTTATATCACAAAGGAGGGATTTGTCAATGTAAAGGAACATTAGTAATCATCAAACATATCACACATTAAAAATGATTGAATACAAAATGTAGAATAATACCAAAATTACAAGAAACGAAAAATATGCTCGATATCCGAAAAACTGCATCACATAATTAATTTAATATATCTTTGGGTGAGTACATAACCATCATTTATAAATGACAAGTTATATCTTTTATATATCAAGTTTGTCACTTGATCAGTGAAATGATAATTTGACACTATTAAATAAGAATTTTAAAATATAATGTATATCTTAGGAATGTCATTTCTGACTATTTTATAGTTACATATTCATTAATGATTTAATTTTTTAAACTCATCTGAGAAAAGAATTACAGCAACATCAAGAAGAAAGTATTTTTGGAATTGTATATTTAAAGGTCTGCTTAACACAGTTCGCAAAGCTTACCGATGACATGCTGTATCCCCCTATCCTTAAGAGAGGAAATAAAAAGTTTTAACAGAGCACTGTTCTTTCCATAGTTCCAAATTAAAGGTGAATATAACGAACGAAGTTAAACCCTTGGATACAAAGGTTTGGAGCTCTAAATTTGTCTTGTATCTCGACCACTGAAATTTAATTTTTTGATGATCATTAGAAATACCTAAGTTAAATATTTTTAAACAATAAAACAAAAATGTAAAATATTTAATTAAATGGAAAATGAGTTGATTTTTTTTGCTGAAACTGTGTCCATGTCCCTTTAAATACCAAACTTTTCGTTCCTATACTCCTGTTTAAAAAATACTTTCAAAAATTAATTTGATATTACAGGGAAATATCTCCTTTCAAAATTTTCTGTGCAATTTAAATGATCTTTTATTAATTCTTAAGTCTTTATTTAACACAACATTTAAACTTTTTCACTGAAATTATAAACAATACCGGGAAAAGCACACAGTGTATAACATTAAACAGAGAAATTATCACATCTGACTTTTGACTTAGAATGGCTGGTCTGATATAAGCTATCAGTTGTACCATAATCATCGGCAAGGCGGGTATAACTGTAGCCAGAACTGCCGAGCGTAACATTTTGAAAGCTCTTATTTGCCATTGTTTGCCAGATACACTTGTTTTTCTCTCATTTTCTTTCCTCCCAGATGTGTAAGGTGCATTATTTTGGATTGACATCATGTTTGTATCATTTTCATTTTCCTGTTTAGGAGATGATCTATATTGAGTTTTGATGCTTAGGTCCTTTTGACTTCGAGTTTTCTCTTGGTGAATGCTGTTGGATGCAGCTGTTACAGGCTTTACGAATATTAAGTTACTTGAACGCGTTGATGGCGCCAACATTACATTTTCTTTCGTTTCAGTTTCAATTTGTTGGTTTTTTATTTTAATTACACCTTGAACTCGAGTAATTTTTTTCCTCATTTTAATTGTAATGTATGTATATATGACTAACATGACCAATATTTCCAAGGACAAAATTGTTCTGTGATAATCCAGGAAAAATCTTGAATTTGATCGTAATATATCATGCATTCCACATAATGCCGAGCTTTTCCGCGAAAACATCAAGAAAAATGGCAGTATTAGAGCCGTCGAAAATAAAATGGAAAAACAAAGAAAAATTACCCTAGACTTGTTTGAATTCAACATTTTAAAACAATGTCTAAGTGAAACTTGTAAAGCACACATCCATTCTATACACTGATATAGTAGAAGCAATATTAGACTATGTCTTGCCACACATATGAAAAGATGTACTGCGATACAACTATACACTGAATGATTTCTTGCGAACATTCCATACATGTACATTGTATCAATAACAAGCTCCATCATTGAAATGGACATGAAAATTAAGTTCTGGTGTTCTTTTCGAAGTTCTTTATCCAGCATCATCATAAAACAACAGGCACAATTCAAAATAATAGACGTCACCAACACAACACCTAAAACTGGATAGAAGACTCTACCGTACACTCCTTCAAAGGACCAGTCCTGGTTCATCCTGAATCCTGAGCTTACAATGTTACAAAAAACGGTTTCAATGCTTTGCTTTTTTTTAATGTTTAGTCCTCTGTATATTACAGCAATATAGAATAACATATGATCCTCACTGGAATGGAACTGGTGACCGAATAAATAAATGATCCTTTTTATTCCTAGTAGAGCGGCAATCACTGGAAATAAGAGCTTAATTAGCATGGTAGGACTTGACTATAATGATGAGGGAGTAACAAATTCTCATCTGTCTGGCAAGTTTGATTATAAGGTATCCGCTTCTGTATATGATTTATACTAACGTCATTGCATTCAAGACCAACCCTGTCCAACAGTTACGAACAAATTATAATGAATCACAAGCAGAATGATAATCATATTTAATCTTCATTGTTTTTCTCACATTTCTACCAGTCACAATCTGTTATGTACATAAATACTTCGCAATTTGAATTCGAAATAATCACGATTTTTAAGGTACACATATAATAATGGATGGTGAAATTCACCCAATGGGAAGTTAAAGTGACTAAGACTTAAAACATACTTTAACTAAATCATTTGATTCTCGCCTTGCCAAATCTTAATTCTGAAATTTTCAGAATTCTTTAGTCAGAAATGTCTCATTTCCTTGGGAATAGTAAAATGATACGAAAAGAATTGTTATAGTTCAGGACTTCTAAATATGGAGGTTAAAATGATAGATTGCACTGGATGTATGCTTTAACATCAAGTCGGATCAGAGGACTTCATAAATCAGCTACAAATTGTGGGATAAATGTTTGAAGCTGAACAAAAACAGATATTAAAACCCAAATAACCCATGCATTATGTTTAACCAAGAATGTTTCCCAAAGAAAAGCCGTATTCACGATTACTTTGTCTTTCTAAGTTTTCTATTTGATAATTATGCCCATATCTCAAGTTTTTGCTCGGTAGAAAAACTCATAGTGTGAAAGCAAATTTTGTAAAATATAATGGGATATAACAGGAAGAACGAATATTTCAACCAAGATGGAATTATGGTATGTCACTCGTGAAATTTTAGAATATCAGGATTTTTTAGAAGTTTATTGTGGATAAATACTCGTATAGCAAAATCGCAGAAAAAATAGGGGGGTCAGTGTGCATCTTACTGAGCTGCGGTACAATTAAGTTGACCTTTTTGAACTTAGTTTTTAAATCTTCGCTTAATATATCACTTTAATCTTTATAATATTTTATTTGATGTAACCATGGCAATAAATATAATCTTATTTTACGTAAAATAGTTTGAATAATATTTATCATTGAATAAATCTTGCAAATTAATGCGCGTAAATTATTGTGTGATATATTACACAGAATTTAGAACTAAGATTGACTGATTCTCCAAAACTTACTTTTTGTAGAAGTGAAATAGAAGCAATTGATCACTTATGTGTTAAATATTTAAATAAAACTAAAGAATCATTGTAGTATGCATGTATATATAAGATTAAAACGTTTAGAGTTGTGCGTATGAGTACCGATTATCATAGTTTAATCAGTGAATTTCTGAATCAGTGTATAGCATTCATTATGAAAATGTTTTCCAGTAGCCGGGTTGCTCTAGATGTTGCTCCCACCTCAATAAAAAAATGGTAATGGACTTCGAGAAGTAATGTTCGAGAAGAATATTTTTTCTGAGTTAGCAATAACTTGAAAGACGATTTAAAAAAAATTACAACGTGTATAATAATATTCATCAACATGGTAATTCACAGTTTTTGTTCATATCCTGATATATATATATATATATATATATATATATATATATATATATATAGAGAGAGAGAGAGAGCAAGCACAAAGAAATTCACTTTTACATGGATACCCACTTCCGCCCCAGCCCGGGGTTGAACTCTCGACCTTCGGAATCTGTCTCCTAGCAGTGCAATGCTAGACCGCTCGGCTATCTAGGCAAGTCAAAAAACTTGCTTTCGATGCCAATGGAATTCTCGCGGCGCTGCCCTACACTACACAGTCATTGAGAATAGAAGTGAGATACAGTCATTTGGACATTAGTTTTAACAGAGGATTGTTACCAATACATGTTGTAATGAAATTAATTATTTATAAAGCACAATTTACAACAACTCCTAAACTAACATAACTGCCCTAAGTGAAGAAATATTAATATAGA